TGAATGGGAAAACTGTAGACACATCTAAAACGTGTTAGGATCATTAGGATTTTTTAGGAGGCCAGAGAGATGAAAAATTAACAACCACCTTCGCCGGGAATCGAACCACGGACCTCTGCAATACCGGCCCAGCGTGCTACCGTTACACACGAAGGCACACTAGGAAAGTGGGAGAATACCTTATATACTCCGCTTTTTAAAGGGCGACTAGGGTTTCGGGACCTAGTCGCCAAATCCGGGGGCGGAGAATCACATCCACAACCCTTGGTTCGGGCGCCACTTGTAGAGACTTAGGATTTTGTTTGGAGCAGAGATGAAATTAACAACCGCCTTCGCGGGAATCGAACCACGGCCTCTGGAATACCGCCTAGCGTGCTATCGTTACCACGAAGGAGCTAGGAGATGGGAGAAATACCTTATATACTCCTTTTAAAGGCGACTAGGTTTTGGGGACTGTCGCAAATCTGGTGCGGAGATCATAATCAAACCTTTAGTTCGGGGCCATTGTAGAGAATTAGGATTTTTGGAACTCAGAGAGATGAAAAATTAACAACCGCCTTCGCCGGGAATCGAACCACGGACCTCTGGATACCGGCCTAGAAGCTACGTACACCACGAAGACGCTAGGATAGTGGGAGAAATACCTTATATACTCCCCTTTTTAAAGGGCGACTAGGGTTTTAGGGGACCTAGTCGCCAAATCCTGGGTGCGGGAATCATCATCCACAACCCTTTTAGTTCGGCGCCACTTGTAGAGACATTAGGTTTGTTTGGAAGTCAGAGAGAAGAAAAAATTAACAACCGCCTTCGCGGAATCGAACCACTGACCTCTGGAATACCGGCCTAGCATGCTATCGTTACACCACGAAGGACGCTAGGATATGGGTAGAAATACCTTATATACTCCCTTTTTAAAGGCGACTAGGGTTTAGGGGGACCTAGTCGCCAAATCCTGGTTGCGGAGGAATCAATCCACAAACCGCTTTAGTTTCGGGCGCCACTTGTAGAGACATTAGGATTTGTTTGGAGTCAGAGAGATGAAAAATTAACAACCGCCTTCCGGGAATCGAACCACGGGACCTCTGGAATACGGCCTTAGATGCGATCGTTACACCACGGAAGGACGCTAGGATAGTGGGAGAAATACCTTTATACTCCCCTTTTAAAGGGCGACTAAGGTTTTAGGGGACCTAGTCGCCAAATCCTGGGTGGGAAGAATCATCATCCACAACCCTTTTAGTTCGGGCGCCACTTGTAGAGACTTAGGATTTGTTTGGAAGTCAGAGATGAAAAATTAACAACGCCTTCGCCGGGAATCGAACCACGGACCTCTGGATAACCGGCCTAGCAATGCTATCGTTACACCACGAGGACGCTAGGATAGTGGGAGAAATACCCTATATACTCCCCTTTTTAAAGGGCGACCTAGGGTTTTAGGGGACCTAGTCGCCAAATCTGGGTGCGGAGAATCATCATCCACAACCCTTTAGTTCGGGCGCCACTTGTAGAGACATTAGGATTTTGTTTGGAAGCAGGAGGCTTAAAAAATGAGCAACGCCTTCGCCGGGAATCGAACCACGGACCTCTGGAATAACGCGGCCCTAGCGTCCAGCTACAGTTACACCACAAAGGCACGCTAGGGAAATGGAAGAAATTACCTTATATACTCCCCCTTTTTAAAGGGCGACTAGGGATTTTTAGGGGAATCCTAGTCGCCAAATCCTAGATGGGGAGAATCATCATCCACAACCCTTTAGTTGGGCGCCACTTGTAGGACATTAGATTTTGTTGGAAGTCAGAGAGAAGAAAAATTAACAACCGCCTTCGCCGGGAATCGAACCACGGACCTCTGGAATACCGGCTATGCTATCGTTACACCACGAAGGACGCTAGGATAGTGGAGAAATACCTTATATACTCCCTTTTTAAAGGGCGACTAGGGTTTTAGGGGACCTAGTCGCCAATCCTGGTTGCGGAGAATCATCATCCACAACCCTTTTAGTTCGGGCGCCACTTGTAGAGACATTAGGATTTTGTTTGGAAGTCAGAGAGATGAAAAATTAACAACCGCCTTCGCCGGGAATCGAACCACGGACCTCTGGAATAACGGCCTAGCATGCTATCGTTACACCACGGAGGACGCTAGGATAGTGGGAGAAATACCTTATATACTCCCCTTTTTAAAGGGCGACTAAGGTTTTAGGGGACCTAGTCGCCAAATCCTGGGTGCGGAGAATCATCATCCACAACCCTTTTAGTTCGGGCGCCACTTGTAGAGACATTAGGATTTTGTTTGGAAGTCAGAGAGATGAAAAATTAACAACCGCCTTCGCCGGGAATCGAACCACGGACCTCTGGAATACCGGCCTAGCATGCTATCGTTACACCACGAAGGACGCTAGGATAGTGGGAGAAATACCTTATATACTCCCCTTTTTAAAGGGCGACTAGGGTTTTAGGGGACCTAGTCGCCAAATCCTGGTGCGGAGAATCATCATCCACAACCCTTTTAGTTCGGGCGCCACTTGTAGAGACATTAGGATTTTGTTTGGAAGTCAGAGAGATGAAAAATTAACAACCGCCTTCGCCGGAATCGAACACGGACTCTGGAATACTGGCCCAGCGTGCAGAACCACTACATCACGAAGGACGCTAGGATAGTGGGAGAATACTTATATACTCCCCTTTTAAAGGGCGACTAGGGTTAGGGGACTAGTCGCCAAAGGGTGCGGAGAATCATCATCCACAACCCTTTAGTTCGGGCGCACTTGTAGAGCATTGGATTTTGTTGGAAGTCAGAGAGATGAAAATTAACAACCGCCTTCGCCGGGAATCGAACCACGGACCTCTGGAATACCGGCCTAGCATGCTATCGTTACACCACGAAGGACGCTAGGATAGTGGGAGAAATACCTTATATACTCCCCTTTTTGAAGGGCGACTAGGGTTTTAGGGGACCTAGTCGCCAAATCTTGGGTGCGGAGAATCATCATCCACAACCCTTTTAGTTCGGGCGCCACTTGTAGAGACATTAGTATTTTTTTGGAAGTTTGGAAGTTTTTTTTGGAAGTTTGGAAGTTTTTGGAAGTTTTTTTGGAGAGATGAAAAATTAAGGTTTAATTTAACGCTAATAATTAAGGACGCTAGGGAAGTGGGAGAAATACCCTATAAACGCATGCGCAAATTTAGCTTCTCTAAGTGGGTGCGGCTTAGACCTTGTGTCGCAAGTATAAATGGAAATACCGCATTTTATTCCTTGTGACTATACCTCTGTGACATTCACTTCATCGTCTTGAACGCAGCTTTACATCCTTCCCCTGGTCATGTTCATCTCCAAGCCTGTGCGAGAATTGGCAAGGATTAACACTTAGGTAGATCTAGTTACATTTTATGTTAACGAAGACAACTTAGCCTACAAATTTATTAGAGTTATACGTTTCGAGCAGGCCTAACCACATTGAATTATTCCATTGGAGTAGAATGCTAATTAACGCAGAAACATTATACACACACTTTTCATAAAATTAAATTTACCACTTTCTGTGATGGTTTGATCTGCTGTCAGCATTCCACTGCCCTGTTTACTGGCATCTAATTGCCATCTCAGGTCGTCATGATTGAAGCTATTTCCATCAATATGCTTTGGAGGCTGAGATTTTAGATTAGTGATATCAGTCAAGGCAGGGTCTTCATTTATGGTTAGCTGAACAGCAATCCTGTATTCATAGTCATCGGCACCTTCCTCTTTCTTCATTCCATCAAATAATGCTCTCCTGTCATTTGAACTGAATAACGGAAAAGGACGAAACAGAAATTTCTCGAATTGGGTTGTTTTGTTTGCTGGAACTGAAATAAAACAGAAACTTCACTTTTCCGTCTTTAATTCTTATAAGCATGCTATCTAATGTATGTATCAATTATTTAAATAAAAAGTAATTGTTGATAGATTCAATTAATGATTCGTAGTTTTATTTCTTAAAAACCCATTGATTCTCTTATTAATTTAAATTATCGTTCTCTTTTTTACTCACATTCCAGAACTAGTTGCATTGTTGTAAATAAGTCATTCTACAATTAATTGCTTGTACACCCTTAATTATACAATATCCGCCATAATACTCGTATAAAATCGATATACAAGTTGATGCTTATTTATTGTTATTTATTATAAATAGATTTTTTACCAGTGTTCATTATTCATATCTAGCATATGCATAAAATTGCATCATGTAAACAAAAACATGCATATATGCACCAGAGAAGTGTGAAAACGTGAGTCAACCTTAGACGTTTTTGATGTCTTTTCAATTCACCTGTTTTGGGAATGGTTAAACTCTGAAACAGAACATCCCGTAAAGTTTTTAAAGAAAATGATTGCTCTTCGCATCTTCCGCGGTTGCAAAAATAGTGCTGCAAAACTATTCCTGTTCAATCAAACAACTGAATGGGAATAAATAATATTCGCTGGATAGCTGAATAAATATGTAAAGACTGTAAGGATCTTAAGTTTTACTAACGTTTATTTTATTTTAAATCTTTACTATCACTTCTTATTTTCTACTTCCGGCCAGAATTAAAACCTTTAACTTATTTATGCAAATTTGTCTTGCGAACGCCAAGTACTTAAGTTGTGGCTTTTTGCCAAGCGAGAGAGAGAGGAAAGGAAAGGAGTTTGTTAGTAGAAGCAGGCCGCTTACCTTAGCGTTTTTACTCGGTTGCTGGTTGGGCCTAACAGGCCAGAGGTTAATCCTCTTGATAATTTTTAAACGTATTTGTGTGTTTCTCCTTACTTGCTTTGGGAACATTCAAGAACCTGACTCGGAACAGGGAACAGGGAACTGTAGTGTTAACAGTTCTCTGTACTACATACGGCTCCCTGTTAATATACGGCCAATCTTCTCGGAGGCCCTTGTTTGTTACTCCAAAGTTAAGTTAGAGTTTAGTTAATATTTTTATATTCTTACGTTCAGACCACAAGTGGTTGGTCTCTGTATTCCGAAGTACGGAAATCATTGTAAAGAGTGAAAAATAAAGGGTTTCGTATACCCTTCCTGTGTATCTTGTTTACTTCCCACATTTATTGAACATAGCTTTAGTAAGCTCCCTGTTCCGAGTCAGGTTCTTGAATGTTCCCAAAGCAAGTAAGGAGAAACACTGAACCTGATAGTTTTATTTCTTAAAAACCCATTGATTCTCTTTTTAATTTAAATTATCGTTCTCTTTTTTACTCCCACATTCCAGAACTAGCTGCATTGTTGTAAATAAGTCATTCTACAATTAATTGCTTGTACACCCTTAATTATACAATATCCGCCATAATACTCGTATTAAAATCGATATACAAGTTGATGCTTATTTATTGTTATTTATTGTAGGTAGATTCTTTGCACCACCAATGTTCATTATTCATATCTAGTACATAATGCATAAAATTGCATCATGTAAACATAAACTTGCATATATGCACCAGAGAAGTGTGAAAACGTGAGTCAACCTTAGACGTTTTTGATGTCTTTTCAATTCACCTGTGTTGGGCATGGTTAAACTCTGAAACAGAACATCCCGTAAAGTTTTTAAAGAAAATGATTGCTCTTCGCATCTTCCGCGGTTGCAAAATAGTGCTGCAAAACTATTCCTGTTCAATCAAGCAACTGAATGGGAATAAATAATATTCGCTGGATAGCTAAATAAATATGTAAAGGCTTATGTCATTGCATAAAAATGTCATAAAAATATAAAATGCATAAAAGTATCACAAAAAGATTGCATAAAAATACCACTATCCCTGGCGATAGCGCTGCCTGTAAGTTCTAGGAATTGAAGTAGAGCTCAGTTTCTAGAACTTTAGAAACATCCTACGCATTCAAATACTAATAAAATTTCTAATCACAAACTTTCTGTTCTTCTTAGTTTAAATAAGAAACACACCACTTTCTTATTCCTCAGCCTTAGCTTTTAAGCCACGTGCCTATATTCACAACATGCCCCATTTTTAAATGCATCTTTTTGTTTACATGATGCAATTTTATGCATTATGTACTAAATATGAATAATGAACACTGATGGTGTAAACAATCTACCTATAATAAATAACAATAAATAAGCATCAACTTGTATATCGATTCCTTTCTGCAACATGAAAGTGCACAATTACTTGACTTTTTTATCTTCAGTAATAAAAGTACACAAAATTTTCAATGCTAATTTAGTGGATTAATAATGAGTACATACGTTTATATTATTGCTTAAAACCTAAGAAACAAATGGAAAAAAAGGCCGCAGTGTCAGTGTTTAGAATTCAAGTGTAAAATCTAAATCTTGGTGCTGCTGCTTTTTCAAATGCTTACAAGAAATTTGTATAAATAATAATGTCGAATGGGGCGAAAGATTTTTAAAGAGCGTGTCAAGCAATGGGGAAGAAGAAATGTGTTCTTTGCATTTAATGCATAGTATACAAAACATAAACATCATAAGTGTCACTATCATGTCCTTCCACAGACAAAGTGCATATTTCGGCTTACCACGATAGAACATCTTGGGGGGGGGAGCGGCCACATCGCTGATACTGGAAACATTGTAATGAGTAGGTATGCAAGGGTAGCAAATACGTAGCTTTCCTCACAGTTTAGGAAAGTCAGGGTCTTCGTGTCGTCAACTGACCTTCTTTACGCTTGATCCGTGTAGATGTACCCATATTATGCTATAAAGGTTTATTCGCGAATTCCTACTCTACTACGCATAGGTGGTGCACTTCTAAGATAAACCCTGTGTTGAACACTGCTTGACACCCAAATTGCAACACCAAGAAAGACAAGAGATATCACAACAAAATTTATTTAGTAGATAACATGTTGACCAAGTATCAAATGATTAAATTTATAGACTTCTGTGAAGTGTGGTTCCTTCCAGAATCAGTTGCCAGAGTAGCCGCCATTGTTGGAGATCACCGCTGCCACACGCCTCGGCATTGATTCAAAGAGACTTTGGATGTGTTCTTGGGGTACAACAGACCAAGCAGCTTCCACACGTTGCCAAAGTTGATCTGGTGTGGCAGCTTGGGATGTAATCTGGGTCAATCGTTCAACAACCATGGACCACATGTTTTCTATCGGCGAAAGATCCGGAGAGCGAGCCGGCCAGGGAAGCAATTCAATCTGGCGATTGACGAAGAACCCTTGGACAATGCGTGCCACGTGTGGTCGCGCATTATCCTGTTGAAATATGGCTGTGGGCAAGCCCTGAAGGTAAGGAAGGACAACTGGCTCCAACACCTCGGAGATGTAGCGCTGGCTGTTTAAAGTACTGGCAATGTGTATTAGAGGAGTGCGAGAGTGATATCCAATACCGGCCCATACAATAATACCCGATGCAGGACCAGTGTGGTGGTGCATAACGCAGCTGTTCTTCATCCTCTCTCCACGGCGTCTCCAGACTCGAATCCGACCATCGTGGTGTTGCAGACAGAAGCGTGACTCGTCAGTAAAGACAATTTCATTCCATTCTGCCGTCCACATCCTTCTTTCCTCGCACCATTGGTGGCGGAGACGTCTGTGGTTCTGCGTCAAGGGTAGACGAAGCAATGGACGTTTTGCGGGGAGGGACCACTCTGCTGTAAACGGCGTCGAATGGTACGCGTAGACACTGGATGAAGCGTTACAGACCGAATGTGCTGTGCTGTGCTATGGTTCGTGATGTGACTGAGCGATCCGTCACTGCTATGCGCACAATGTTCTTGTCATCACGTGAAGTGGTGCACTGAAGTGGATGCGATCGAACACGTCGGTCCGTCGTACCCTCCTGCATCCAATGGTCACATATCCGCATCAAAGTTGTTTGGTTTCGTCCAACACGGCTACCGATTTCCCTGAAATATAATCTACACCTTCGGCAGGCCACTATCCTTCCTCTGTCGAACTCGGATACTTGATCAAACGATGATCGTTGCTTACTACAAGGCATAATTGATCTTTTTTTTTTTTTTTTTTTTTTGAAAAAAACCACGAGAAAAACACAATTGCCGAACTTGAAATCGTCGAAAACTCCAAGCCTTAAATAGCGCTCTGAAGTGGCGCCACAGGCGCGCGTGATGTGCGTCTGCGCTGAAATTGTAATCATTTGCATACCTCACCTCCGCTAATGCACGTTGTAAATTTCATGTTATTTGCATGCTTCCGTCAGGCTGTTGGATTTACGGTGACCAGCAGTGTAATTAAGTATTTTTTCAATGCAACCAAGTTTGGTTAAACGCAGATGAAATTGCATAGGGAAGAGAGTTTTATTTAATAGATTTCCATATCGGAATTATTTCATATGTTTTAATTCTCTGACATGTGCTTTTATATATTTATTTATATTTTTTGCAGCTAGCCTGACAAGCTTTAATAACTACATAACAAGGACGACTCTTGTCTGGAACAGCATTAGAATTTGCATTCGTTTTTGCTTTCAGGGCAGAAGATATGGTTGAAATATTAGATTCGAATGTTTGATTTATATGAGCTATTTTTCAGAGAAAAACAGAATTTGGACCTGGCAACCCCACTCACCATGGAGTCCAAAAAGGGGATGCAGAATCCCACACTAGATTTAACAGAACTCGTACACTTACTGAAGCCACACAATCAGCTTCAATCCCATAACAGGCACTTCGAATCGCTTATCCCCAAGCCACTGACACTATAAACAAGCGACAATCCGATTGATTCTAGCGAGGACAGCTAAGTGCCTCACGTTTCAGTCTGAAGCAGAGGCCTAAATAATATGTTGGGGAGAGTGCCTTCTCTGTCAACTACCAGGATCCTTCTTTCCAGCCTTACAAATCTCCCCACACAGCTGAGACGTGTCTCTCTGCATGAAAAGCAATAGCGCAACTTAACTTGAGCTCCAGTCTCTGAGAAGAAAATCATATAGGAAAGAAGTAGAAATCAGAAGGTAAGAAGGAGGACAAAATCATTGGGTACCCTGGAGTCTAGATATACGCATTCATCAAAAAAATGATCTCCTGAGAGATCCGCAGCATGGGTTAAGACAACAAGGCTTGCTTATTTGTTTATTTAAGTTGTTGTTTTAATTACATCAAAAGAATTATCTTTAGTTTAACGGAAATTTTTCATTATTAATTTAATGGACAGATATTAAAAATTGTACAATGCAGATTTAAAAATTACAGAATTCGAATGCAGGTTACGATTTCAGGCTTTATTACTCACTTTTTTGCTAAGACTGAATAACACTATAAATTTTCAAACTTGCTGTTGAGAAACAGAGTATTTGAAAAAGACTGTTTAAAAAAATTCGTCAAAACGCCTAAAGGTTATTAAGAATTCAAAAACACTTATATGAAAATGGCACTGAATGGAGATGAATTATTTCTGTATTTCATAAACATTTGATACCCTGTGTAGGATTTGCATAATGATGCCATTTAACTGCTATCGATATGCTGAAGTCTAATGTTTTCAGTTCACATGATGTCTCATGCGATTAAAGATTGTAATTTATCTTAGACTCAGTAACTTTTAAATTTGAATAAAAAAATTATTCACATTGGAGAAAGGAAATAATGGATTGAAAGTTACCAAAGGCAAACTGAATTGGCTGCCGTCCTCAAATGCTCGTAGATTAGCAACACAACATGTAGTCTGTGTTGTCTCTCAATACGATGTAAACCTTGCAAACGACTGGTCTACGTCAAAGCTGCACAAAACCGTTTGCGTGACGTAGGTCTTGGCATCCTCCATTTACTGACTTATGTTAAGTGTTTTAGTGACTGTCTAATAAGATAAGCGTGGATACACAAAACATATGATGTGTGTATCATAATTTCCGTATCGCCTTTAATTACATAAAACTGATGACTAGAGTTACCATTTTTTGGAATGACCAATGGATGTTTCGATAATCATACACATTTAAGGATCTAAAAAATCTCAGTATTGCAGTATCGAGTAGTTCTCAATCAACATCAGTTCAGAATAACGCTGAAACTGAGGTTTGAAATGTAGAGAAAATGAATATTTCACTGTCATTTACGACGTTTTACAATTCTTTACCAAATTGCTTCTTATTATGTACATCTCAGATTGCTGATTTTGAATAAAAATTACAATTACAGTCATCTCTAGAGTTATATAAGTTTAACAGAGTTAATTAGTTCCAAAAAATGAATTAATTCTAAAAAATAATTGTAATATTGTTATCTTCGCGTACGCGATTTTATTGCAGGCGCATCAAACTATCAGAAGAAAAATTTGAACTTAACGGAATCCCAAGGCAATTATTTCTGTAAGTTTATATATCTTATTTCAGTGCAAATTCTAATTGTTAAAAGAATTATAACAACAGTCAAACGTGATTTACAGAACTGCAGTTTTCTAAATAACGATTCGTTACAGCTTAGGGCCAATGCTACACTTTCTGCCATTATCTCAGCGGCTCAAGTTTCATAATTCTGGTATCTTGTGCCTTCCTAAATTCTAAAAATGGTACTATTCCGTTTTGAGGACCGTAAAAAAATTGCAGCGAAAATGTATGCGCAAAAGCGCCAAATCTAGCAAACGCGGCCATTTAACAACGCGCCAAATCTAGCGCACGCGCTGATTTCATATTGCGTAAGATTACATAATTCGATATTTCTTAGGACGCCATTGAAATACTAGTTTAATTTTAAAATTCTTTTTTGATTTTAAATCCTTAATATCCTATGGATTTAACAATTTGGAACGAAATGACGAAAAGTCTGCAATAGAATTTTGGGTGAAGTGCAGAATCACCCACTGTTTGACGCGTTTTTAAGAATTGCACATACTCAGTATCCATGCACACATCGACCTATTTTTACTTAAAAGAAAATTGACACAAATCCAACTGTTTTTACTCTTGTAAAATGCGGCAAACAAATAAGTGGACGATTCTGCACTTTACCGAGAATTTTTTCAAAGAAAAAGCATCGTTCATTATAGAAAATTATGTTTGAACAATCAACAAGATGAAACTATGCTTTAGCGATAACTCGGTAGCGAAATAAGAATACAGGCATCCATTCATTTATGTTTAGCAACTTTTATATAAATTATAATAATGATCTGAAATAGTTATTTACTCTTGTACTTCCATTCAGTCATGTTTGCCTTTTTTACATAAATTATAATAATAAAAAAATATTATATGAAATTAACCCTTTCATGTAAATTAAAACATCAGTCTTAGATAGTTGTTTACTATTATACTTCCCTTAGGATTGCCGCAATTATTTTTGGCAGCATAGGCATCTACATTAGTTTGGCGATTTTTTACGGCCCTCAAAACCTAATAGTACCCTAAAAATTTACTATTCATTGAAGGTTAAAATTTTTACTTCCTCCCAGATTGTTCAATTTAATTTCTTTTTTTGGGGGGGGCGTAATGTAAGAGAAAGAAATATGTATAAATACCTGGTCGAGAAAAAGCAAATCCAGCTCCAAGAATTAAAATGAAGAAATGCATATTTCTTTTCGCATTAATAGTTTCCTGTTACTATCGCTTTATAAAATTCCAATAATATGATAGATAGCTTCATGGGCCATCTAGAAAAGATTTTTTATCAGAAATTTTATAGCTACAAATGCTTCTTGACTTTGATATGATTACATTCAGAAAAACTCCTCATAAGTGGAAAATGTATCTTAAAAAGCTACAGCATTGAACCTCATGAGTTAGGACAGCTTGCCTTAAATGTGCTCAGAAAACTTTCATTAATATGCAGTCGAGAAAAATCATTTAACAGGAATAGTATATATAGAATGAAGTTTTGAATGTCTCATGTAATTTCTCAAATATTCCATTGAAAATAAAAAGTACAAGAATGGTTTTATGTCACCATTGACCTGCGTAACTGAAAGCATGTTGGATCCAGATAATCTTAAGCATTGAATTTAAAACAATTTCTGTAAGTAAACAAGATTCAATTTCGTACTTTCATTTTTTTCGGGAAAGCTCTGGAAAGCTAGTGGAGGGTAAAAAGTGAAGGAGCCTACACTCATTTGATGATTTAACGAACAACTAAACTCTTCACGGAACTAAAAGAGTTAAGGAAAATTGAACTCCCAGAAAGACATCAAAATTTTTGCAAAGATTTTTTCTCTTCATTGCGTAGTTTCCTATGGCAACACTATCTGCCTGTCAGCATCCTTCTCGTTTATGCGGTACACACATATAACTCCTGATACTAGCGTAGAAAGTGATCATAATCCAAAATATAATTCCTACTAAAACTAGAGGGTTTTTATACTATCGAAATAGAGAAGCTCGAAAAATCGTAAGCTGCAGATTAACCGTAGATAAATCTTACTAAGAGTTTAACGTAATACTCTTATAAACGTTTAATTCTGTAAGAGAGAGAAGATGTGTAAATTAAGATGGAATACTTCCCGTTTAAATCTTCGTTTTCGCTTAAGAGAACAATCCACCTCAATTAACATGAGATAATTTAGAGAATGTTTACACATTTTTAGAACGATATTGGGGCCGTTAAATTAATGTTTAAAATGTCAAGATTATCTTTTTAAATGTTCAATCTGATAGCACTTTTTCTGGACTAAAAGTCTGTAGGGTTTCCCTTAGTTCAAATAATCAATTATTCAAATTTTTATTGATTCTCCTGATCTTCTCAACTTCCCCTCGCATTTCCCCGCCAGGATGCTAATTTAAAGTTAAGTGAAATGAGTATTTAAACGGGTGAATCTTGGCGTTTATTCAGAGTGTTTTCGCTAGCCAGCGCATATTTCGTTTCTGGCCTTGCTGTTACGCGAATTGCTGATTGCCATTTGAATAATTATCACGCCTGGTAGGTTATCGAGTCAACCCAGTTAGCCGTAGCTTAAGGTGCTAGTGCCAGCACTACTCTTTTTAAAGTCTTGAAATTATTTATGTAAGAACGCTGAAGTTCCACCGCAAGTTGTCGATGTTATTGTAAAGCACGCAGTACGTGCATTTCTGTTCCATAGTTGAAAATAATAAAGGATTATTTTCACCTTCTTCTGTGCTGGTATTGTTTCACTCATGCGCGAGAAGTCGCCAGGTTCATTAGTAAGACGTAGATTAGTTTATGTGTCCAAAGAGAGTTTAGATCCCATAAGTCTGCATGGTGATTTCCACGATAGAATGGTTTTTTGTAAAATTTCCAATTTTCCTCTTCCACTACTTTCTAGAGACCATCAATGGTGAGAGGTTTGCACTTAAAAGCTCTTTTCAGGAGACCAAAGGCACAACAAACCATACCGAAAAGGCCAGCGAATACAGAAATGCGTTGAAAAGTTATGTACCGTATCTTCCGGTGCATAACGCGAAACTACATTTTTTTATTTTCAGGTACATTCGCTGCAAAATGCGCACTCTTTTCTTTACGAGGAAATCTGAAAGATACATACGCGATGCTTTGATCTTTTGAAGTCATTCATTCGAAGATGTTTTCCCGGTGTTTTTAACAATGGTTGAAGTTGTGATTATCGAAAGCTTTAGTAAACTACATTTGCTTTAGTTGAAACACAGTTGATCCATTGTTCCTTTTAGTAGCAAAAATGGCTCCTGCCAAACGAAACAAACACAGTACTGGTTTCAAATGCAAGTCATTTAATTTGCAGAACATTAAAATCGTGTTGCAGCAAGAATATTTGGTGTTAGTGAAAGTTCCATACATGAATGAAAGGGAAATGAAATCACAATAATTATTATGCTAAAGAATAAACGTGCTTTGAATTAAGGAGTAACGCAATAGCCTATCCTAGAAAAGGTTACAGCCGAAAACATCGCGCCAAAAACATCGCGGACGAAAACGTCGCGGAGAAAACAACGCAAGGCGAAAACGTCGTGATACAAAACATCGTGGGAGAAAACATCGCAAAGAGAAAACATCGCAGTTCTAAAACATCGTGATACAAAATATCGTCATCGAAAATAAAGCGGTTCAAAAACTTCGCAGTTTAAAAACATCGTCGTCGAAAATATCGCGGTAAAAAATAAAGTATTGACAAATCATCGCAGGACGATAACATCGTAGGCATGCTTTTTTCAAGCTTTAATAATTGTAAATGGATATTTCCATAATGATTTGTGAGCGCAAGATGGAAAGAAGGATAATCTTTACTTTCGTATTTTTTATTAACTAATAAATTTTATCTGAAAAAGTAAGAAGGAAATTTAAGCATAGAAAATTAAAGCAACTTATAGCATTTAATAGAATTTTAAACCGACATAGTTAACTAACAAAGGTCATTAATAAATCATTTTTATAAAGGTTTTACTGGTATATTTTCACTAAAAGTATAATCTAAAAATGTTTAGAAGAAGGAAGCTAGGTAACTGCATGACCTTATCCATAAAAAATTGCTAATTATGAGATTGTTTTCTTCACTTTTGTCAATCTAACACTCTTATTATGAAAATTATTTCTTGTTCTGCTTCAGTTTACTCTTAAGTATTAAGTTTCCTTCTTACTTTTTCAGCAAAAATTTATTAGTTAATAAAAAATATGAAAGTAAAAGTTATCTTTCTTTCCATCTCGCGATCACAAATCATTATGGGAATATCCATTTACAATTATTAAAGCCTGAAAAAAGCAGGTCTGCGATGTTATCGTCCTGCGATGATTTGTCGATACTTTATTTTTTACCGCGATGCTTTTAAACTGCGAAGTTTTTGAACCGCTTTATTTTCGACGACGATATTTTGTACCACGATGTTTTAGAACTGTGATGTTTTCTCTATGCGATGTTTTCTCCCTCGATGTTTTGTAGCACGACGTTTTCGCCTCGCGTTGTTTTCTCCGCGACGTTTTCGCTCGCGATGATTTTGCCGCGATGTTATCGGCGGACACCCCTAGAAAAAAGTTGTTGTGAACTGGGTGCTAGCTGTGAATAGGAGATTTTTCCAGACAAGAAACTGCGTACGTTCATTTGTCTTAAAGCGGGGCAAAGAGAATGCAAATGAAAGGAAAAACTTTAAAACAACTTTGAGTTGGACTGGAATAATTTTTTTCTCAGGTAAAGGCTTCAAAATTTGGACAACATTGACAAGTTTATAATTGATAAGTTTCCAGAAGTAGGTTACTGACCTACGGAGACAAAAACATTATGTAGTGTCACATACTGGAAATATGGATGAAACTCCAGCAATGTCTGATATGATAGGAAATAAAAAGGCGATGTATGTAAAAGGAACAAAATAGGTTCATATTAGAACAACAGGTAACAAAATATTTCACCACACTGCAGTGCCTACGCGCTTAGAGGACGGTAAAAATTTAAAACCCATAGTTATTTATTTATTTATTTATTTATTATTATTATTATTATTATTATTTTAAAAAGACGATGCCGAAATGTATTTCCCCAAATAGTGTTTTCATTCATGCTGGCGAGAAAGGATGGATGGACGATAAGGTTTGACACTATGGAATAAGAAATGTTTGGCAAAAGTAGCGCTGTTGCCTAAAAGAATCAAGAAAGTCTTTTAGTTTAGGACATATTCAGATCCTATCCAACGGATAATATAAAGAGATTGTTGAAAGAGTGTAATACAGGCATAGCAGTCATTCTAGACGGGTTAACGCCATTAGTTCAGCAGTTAGATATGTGTGTCAACAAATCATTCAAAGAAATTGTAAAACGACAGTGGAATACGTGGATGTTAGAAGGTGAAAAACCATTTGCAAAAGAAGGCCATATGCGTCATGCCAGTATAGAAATAGGTTGTTAATGGATAATAAAAGCACAGATTGAAATTAAACCAGACGTAATTCAAAAGTAATTTTAAAATATAGTTTTATCTAACAATCTAGCAGGAATGGGAGATGATATCAATTTATGGATCAGAGTAACACTGTTGGTGAAGTTGAAAGAGAATTCGATGATTTGTTCGAAGATGCCGGAATGTACCTTGTGCAATAAGGCTTATAGCCTTAATTTTTTCAAGAAGTGCAACGGTACTTTTCGAAATATGACTTGTTGCTTTGTATTTATGAAGTGTCATTCTTTTAAAATCATTGGGATGAAAAAGTAGAATTTCTTCTGTCAATATCGGACCTAAAACTTTCTCTTGATGGAATGCTGAGCTGATTTTAACATTTTTCCCACTTTTCTTATTTTTAATATTCCTCTACAAGAGAAATTCTGCGACAATAATAAACCCCTTACTGAAACTTTCTTTGAATTGCTGGAACCAAATTTGTAATTTTTCGCCTTGTTTTTGATAATAAATAGACATTTTTTGTTGCAGTCATTTAGGTAATCTCCTGCTTCATCAAGGGTCATAATATATTTCCATTTATCGACACTTACGTATTGTCCCGTTGATCGGCCAACTAGAGCGATTTAGCACCAATTATAGATGACTGTACCCTTTAGAATTTCGCAGTAGCGATTCGCGATTGGCAACGTTTCCCGAAATTTCCGCCAAGGTCAACCGGATAATAAGTAAGTACCCATTTACATCCTGCTACACACACTTCATATAGGGTTCTAGCGTTGAGCCACATGCCTAAGCAAAATCTGGTGAACATTACATTTTTATCTTCTTTAAGTTGCAAATCTTAGTTTATAATTTTATTTAATGTTGCTACAGATGTGTTTAAAGACTTTGTGATCGATTTCTGCGTCCGCGGATTTTCTTTTGTTACCAACGATTAAAAGAACAAGGAAAAGTACGTACCTTTTTCGTGTATTCCGAGTCTTCTTTTCATGTAGAAGGTAAGGATTGGCGTGTTTTCATTTCTGATTAATAATGTTATTACTTATTTTGCACTTAGGAATTTTAATACCACGCATTTACCAATATTTTTTAATTATGGAATAAAAATATTTCTCTTCGGAAAGCGCAAAAACATATCTTTCTATCCCCAGCAGCTAGTTTACATGCGACGTTTTGAAAAGACGAATAAATATGAAAGTCGCAGACGATATTTATTTCTAATAAAAAGCTGTTGCCAGAAATTTTTATTCCAAAATTATTTGCTTTTATTTATTTATTTATTTATTTTTAAATTCCTTATCGAAACTGTTCTAAAAATGTGCAAACACCCTATGTATTTGTTTTCGCATTATTGGTTTCTTATCAGCATTCCATTTTGTAATTTCAAATGCTATCACAGTTACATGGGACATATAGAAATGATTTATTTTCACAAATTGTTAGAATATATATGTTTCTTGACTCGCAATGCGATTATGTTCCGAAACATTCAAAAGTCGAAAATACCTCTAAATTCCCTTAACATAACGATCATGATAACTAAAGATAGCTTGCTTAGTTTTCAAGGAGGTATTTTTTAGTACAGTTTTCATTCCATTAACAGTTTTTAGTTCATTCCATTTGGGTAGATGTTGTTATCAATAGTAACATAAAATATTCAGTCATTAACCTGCGCAGCATCGAAAATGTTACACTGGTTAGGTTGCAAATGTTTTCAGATAAATTTGCACCGTCACAGAACTCAAAATACAAATAGTAACGGAATGCGTATTAGTAGTGGTAGCTCTACCCGTTGCAAATCTACTTGCTCTTAAACTTTATTTCATACAGTAGCAGTTAGTAGGTAATTTACATAATCAGTAACGCAAATAACAGACGCAGCAATAAATAAGCACTTCCGCATTAAGAGCTCTGCATCTTCTTTTGACATTCGAGTGACTAGCGCGATTAGATAAATAATGAAATGTAAGAAATAACAACTGAAAAATAAAATCCTGTAACTGAATTCGAAACTTCACAGTTCTAATTCACAGATTATAAATTGAAATCGATCCCAAACTGCTTAAAAAGATTCAGTAGTTCAGACTTCATATGATTGGATTATTTAGCTATGATAAAGCACAAGTAAAACCCTGTTGTTGTTGTTGCTGCTGCTAAGCTCACTTGCCTGACCCATTTAGTCAGACCAAGTCCCCGAAATTCTTCGTGGTAAGGAACGCAAGTTTACGCCTGTCGTTGGCAACAGCCTTGAGCAGCTTACAGGCGACAGTGCGATTTAACTGAGTTCTGCCCCCAATTTTGATAGAGAGCACGCCGGAGGGATGGCGGGTCCAAGGGTCTCCCATCCCTCTTCCCCTACCACTAACCTGTCGAGAGGACTTTCGGCTCCCCCCATATTTAGAATGCTCCCGTGCCGCACAGACACTATACACTTATAAACATCCATGATTCGAAACCGGGCCCTTCAGCATAGCAGTCAGTGACGCTAACCCAGTCCCCGCCCATGTACCGGTTGGGTGGTGGTAAAACCCTAGTATCCGCCCTTGGCGCGATTTTGAAAACGCCAACACCAAAATGTCGCCAACACCAAAATGACGCGTTTATTGCTCATCATAAATATCGCGTTTACTACTCATCCCTAATGTCGCCAAATTTCGTGTGTACCGTGTACTAGGATTAAACCAAAACATATTATGGGAAAGTCTGTGGAGAGGAATATCTTCATGAAGTACTAAAGGAAAATGACCTCTAATACCACACATGGGGAAAAGCATGAAAATCTGACATAGCCAATGCATTCAGTCATCGGGAGTACAGCATACAGGACCTCTACTCCCGAAATAATTTTAAGCATCGCAGTTTTAACAATTCGGCCACTAGTGGGCTTTGTGGCTCCACAGACTTCCAGTTTAGTTAACATACACTGGTGTGCAAAAATTAAGGACGAAGTCGAAAACTTATATGAGCTGAACGAAGAGACAGAGCGGACAGAAAGACCAATCAGGAGATTAAGTAAGGTGATGTACGGTAGCACATGCGCAGATATGCAGGTAGACGTAATGGGGGAGTGTCTGAGTAGTATAAAGCATGTTGTCGGTGTAAGATCAGTATTTCTGGCAAAGAGATTGTACGCCGTATAGCAGTTAAAATCACACCGAATTGCTGCCTCAGCGAGAAATGGCGAATAACCAATCTGTTAGACGACATTTTTGGATGCTTTTACCCGAGGTCGAATCATTGGGAAGTTGGAGGAAGGCCGCAGTGTGACAAGTGTGGCTGCAGAGTTCGGAATTGCTTACAGCATCGTTTCACGACTTTGGAGACAATTTCAAACTACAGGAACAGCTATTCGGGAGTTTAGTAGTGGTCGTCCACGAGGAACCACACCCGCAGATGACCGGTATATCGCCTTACAGGCCAGAAGAAACAGGCGGCAGACAGCGGGAGAAATTTCTAGACACACGACACAGGCGACTGGACGACCGATATCGCGTTTTACCGTGGCCAGAAGACTGCACGGTGGTGGTCTCTTTGCACGACTCCCTGTACGGTGTGTACCTCTAACGCCGCCCATCGGAGAAGGCGTTCTCTGTGGTGCCGGGAACACCGGAATTGGAGAGACAATGAATGAGGACGAGTACTCTTTACAGATGAGCGTAGATTCAGTCTGAGTAGCGATTCTCATCGCATACTCATCTGGACAGAGCGGGGAAGCCGCAATCATCCCTCGAACATCATTGAAAGGGACAGGTATGGAGGTGGCGGTGTTCTCGTTTGGGGAGGCATCATGCTTGGTAGTCGTACAGACCTTCACATCTTCGACTCAGGTTCAGTCAACGGGACCCGTTATTGTAACGAGATTCTTCTTCCATATGTGCGTCTTTTTAGAGGCGCTATTGGTCCGCAGTTCCTTTTCATGGACGACAATGCACCATGTCATCGCACAGTAGCTGCCGAACAGCTCTTAGAGAGTGAGGATATTGAACGTATGGATTGGCCGGCACGATCTCCGGATCTCAATCCCATCGAGCATGTATGGGATTTTCTAGGCAGACGCTTGGCAGCTCGTACCTTACCACCAGTAACGATTCCGGAGCTTCGATTGGCGCTGCAAGACGAATGGGCATGGGCAGCAATGCCTCAACAACTCATTGACACCCTCATTCTCAGCATGGGCAGAAGCTGTGAAACCTGCCTAGCAGTCAGGGGAGATCATATCCCCTATTAAAGACCGGATGTTTCTTGCTGGACACCCATCACAGGGATGTTTCGGCCTTCAGTCGCATTGCGCTCCATGCTACATTTTCAATAAAGCTTCTTTTTATCCCTCTGATTTCTCTTTTAGTAAGTGTTGCTTACATTACTCATGTCCTTGCGTATTGGGGATTTTACGGTATTAAATGTGTTGATTTGGAAAGCTTTTGTACAAAGTTATATTGAAAAAACCGTCTCGTCCTTAATTTTTGCACACCAGTGTATTGTCTTGGTAGTTAATATACGCGTTTGAAAACATGACTTTTATAAAGAAATCAAGAGAAGATATAGAAGAAGGAAAAGAAACTATCAAGTGACGTATTTTGCACTTTACTTTCGTATAACAATTTCACTTATATTTCTTTTGCATCTTTTCATGATATTATAAATGAACCTTTTCTTTATTTTAGCTTTCATTATGTTTAATTCTTATGTATATGGTGTAAATATCGAATGCACTTGTATCTTATTACCATTTATGTATTTATTGCATACATTCGCATAAAATAAAAAATAAACGTTTCTTTAATTATATAGAGCTAAATGAAAATACTATTTATGTAAAGCATTAAATAAATTACACTTAAAATAATCAAAATTCATTAACGTAATGAGTATGAATACAATACGATAAATCGATAATGAATTAACGATTTATTAATTATCCTTAATTAAAAAAACTTCTTGAATTTAAGTGTAATCTAAAATCACTTTTAAATAAAAACAAAAATTTTATAATCGAGCAAAAAGTAAGCAACTATTTTAGTATCATTATTGACTTTAAGGATTAAGAAATAAAAATAATTATTAGGATGATTTTATTTATTTAAATTGCACCTACTTTTTTATTACTTTGCTGATGAAATTAAGTCATTTGTCTCTGGAAAATGAAAAACATCGCTAGCCAACGTTCAACTCACGACTTTCAGACAGTTGCCAAACAGAATTTGATTAAAATAAAATAGTTTGTAATTACGCTACAGACGTTTTCCTCGTGAAGAAAATCCCATTTATAATATTCGCTGAGTATTAATACTTCTACAATAGTTATTTATTTCTTTTCATTATTAATGCGTAAATCATGTAAAATGCTAACGAAAACCTCGCATTTTCTCTTTCAGTAAAATGTTAATGCTATATTCCTCCTACGAGTAAAATTACGTCATAAAAATTTGAAAAATACGTCAAACCGACACATTTACTTATGTTTACGCTGTTTGTATATGCCAGTACACACAAGGGCTATTTACCAATTTAGTGGAATGCTTTCTCGGAGTATTTTCTAAGAGAAACTATCTGATATTAATATTACACTTACAGAAAGCTATGAAAACACCAGTCTAGCCAGATTGTTCCCTCGGTATAAGAAAATAAGGTGAACTAAGTGTGTTCAGCGATTTTATCCGCTCATCCGCTGGCGAACAGAGTGTGTATTTTTAATCCCCACGTTTTAAAACCCTCTTTTAAGGGCGACTGGGGATTAGGGGACCCAATCGCACAATCCTGGTTGTGAAGAATCATCATCCACCACATTTTAATTCGGGAGCCACTGTAGAGTCATTAGGTTATTTTGAAACAAGAGTACATGAAAAATGTGCATTGCCCTCACCGGGACTCGAACCCTGGACCTCTCGAATACGAGCCGAGTGTGCTACCGTTACACCACGGAGGCATGCAGAAAGAGAGAGAAAAAAAACCTGGGGAAAGTGCAGAATCGCCTACTGCTTGGCGCGTTTTTAAGAATTGCACATACTCGGTATCCATGTACACATCGACCTATTTTCACGTAAAAAAACATCCCAGAATTGCACAAAAATGGCATTGGGCACTGCCTCGACTTTATCCATGTACACATTGACCTATTTTCAGTTAAAAAGTCAAAGAAAATTGACAAAAAAATCCAATTCTTCTTACTCTTGTAAAAAGCGCCAATCAAATAAGTGGGCGATTCTACACTTTAGCCAAAAACCTTATACACTCACGATCTTGGGCATTAAATGGAAAAAAACCTAAGAACTCTTCCATTTGAAACTGTAAGTATAAACAGGACATATCTAAGCGGAGTCATTTTAATCCAAAAAAATCTTCAAAAAATGGTGATTCGGATTTTTGCATTTTCAAATTCTTTACACTTTTATGTTTCTAAAAATACCATTCTTTAATCGCTATGGAAATTAGAACTGTAAAAAATCTAATTTTAATTTGTCATCGAATGCTTTGATAAATGAGGATTTTTACATAAAAACGCTCCCCCCCCCAATGGTGACTTTTTTATATTCGATGTACCTTTTTTCAGGACACTACTGCTCACAGGTATCTAAAATTTCTATGGCTTATTTATTAGGCTTCCTAATATTTACTGAAATGAGCTTTTTGTGATAAATTTATAAAAAAAGAATTACAAATTTTTTGTGTGCTAAATTTTACTATACCTAACAAAATATTCTGTAAATTACTCTAAAATTCAAAATACTTAAAACGCTCATTTCAGTATAATCAGATAAGTATACTTTAATTACACCAAAAACTTCAAGCGTGTATCTACAGCAGATTTTGAGAAAAGGTACATCGAAAATGGCCAATTTAACATTGTCGGTATAGGGGTTTCTGACACCCCTTAAATTAATGGTATTTGTGATTTGTATGGAGCAGATATTTTTATGCTGATTTGGATCTACTTTCTGTTCATAGCCCATACAGCAGGGGTGGACAAATGCTTTTAACCAGGAACAAAGAAAGGTCTTTTTAATCTAGGATGCGTGCGGAGCTGTCGCAAGCTGCGATGGTGTCTGTGTGGTGATCTTTTGCGGACGGTGCCCCTGTTGTTTTCTAGGTCGCGATGGAGGAGAGAGGAAACTCCCATCCCCGATTGAAATTTTTTGAAAAATTATACTTTAAAATAGTATTTTATGTACTTAATTTCATAATTTTTACTTTAAATAAGCCCCAGGCGTTGAAGACGGGGCTTCAACGGCTCTGTATATTAAGAATCTATGAAATGTAATATTATTTATATTACATACGTATATATATATATATACGCAAATTTCAAGGAATATGAAGCAAAAATAAAGCACCTGTATTCAATATTTTCATAAATTTATAGCTTTGCATACATTTTTATTTTTACTACGTACACTGAGTTGTACACTACAAACACTGTGTAATATTAATATATGCTTAATAAGAGACGTATACTAGGTACTTTTCTGTTTTGCCGCCTCAGGCGATAATGTCGCCAATAATGGTAACTGATGCCAAACGGAATATCTTCGCCTTTTACGCCTCATTTTCAAAACAAGTCGCAGCCATTTCTTACCAGATTGATTGTTTCTTTCAATACTGGCATAAAATTCCAGATACCGTAAAATTTCCAGAAGAAACGCCGCGGCGTTTACGTGTTTAAAACTTAAATTTTCAGCGGGTGCGGCGTTTCTACCCATGCGGCGTTTAGGTGGACTAAAAATAAAATATTTCCTACGATGGTCATTGTACACAGTTTGGATGGCCTTGTCATTGTGCATAGACTGGTGCTATTCCCACACAAAAGACCACTCAGTTGCTTTTTGCGAACGTTATTTTGTTTACATTCTTTCCCTTGAACGGACCTACATGCCTTATTCACCCTAAACGAGATCTCAGAACAATAACATTCTTCCCCCTTTCAAATCAACATTCTCATCAGTTTGAATAGTCTCTCTCCTCTGCTATTCGACGAATCTTCCAGGACCCATCCTCTCCCCACCCCTGCCTTTTCTGCAATTTTTTTCAAAGGCGGACACGACTCCACCTGCCTCGCAATAACGAACTCTGACGTATTTCCCCTTCAGGAATGGATTTTTCTTAGCATTCTGCCAAATACAGATCCCATCAGTTTGGGTACAAGTACTTGTTGGATAGTTTTTAAGTAAGAAGGGAGCGGAAAATTTTTGAAAATGTCTCTAAACGGCACAGAAGCTATACATTTCTTACCTTTAATTTATTTTTGAGTTATGGTTTCATTTCATGCATTTTTCTTAACTGGTATGTCATATATCAGGACTTAGGTTGAGTTTTTGCATCTATACGGCCCACGACGATGTCACGCACAATTTAATCTATTGCGGCGTTTACGCTGATGCGGCGTTTCTGTGTAATTTTAATTTTTTTCCCGCCATTTTTCTCGAGTGCGGTGTTTACGCTGATGCGGCCTTTCTTCCGGAAATTACGGTAATTTTTACAACATAGTTCAATTTTATGCTCTAAGTTTCTGCATAGTTGACCTGGCTTTTGAATTTCAAGAATCCCGAAAGCCAGATCTATACGGAGAATCCAAGAATATGACATAACTATCCATCACCGGAAAGGATCATCACACGAAAACACCGACGTTTTGTCTTAGAAGACCCCGCCCAGAAAACTATTGATATTGTTCCAGGATCGAAACAAAATATGAGCTGGTTAATCATCTGGTCGCATGACAAGATTGTATCTAGATTGCATAATTTTATTTCTATTCATATATTCCGAATAAAAACAGTTAAGTGTTTCTAAGACATTACAAAATTAAACGTAAAGTTGCGAAAGTATTTGTAATTTGAAAAACGGAAACAGAAATATTTAGATGTTTAAAGTAATTTTTATTGCACCCACGGCTCCCAAAGTTTTTACTGCCCCACTTGAAGTAAGACCTGTCCTTCTTTGACGTCAACTGAGGGAAGGAAATTTAAATGCATATGGGGACACTTTTTCATGCAACTGACAGAAACAAAATGGAAGTTGCGTCATATATATTTGGAAAGATATATCGATATGTGTGTGTGTGTATGCTACTTAACAGTAAAGTAACTCGAAGAGACTTTTACATTTAGATGTTACAAAATATTTATTTTTTTTAAAAATCTGTTATTTGCTATCATTTTGAATAAATAGTCTACTGTTTTATAGCTCCTGTTTTTCACCTGCTGTTCAGCTCAGTTTTGAAAAACGCAGGAATCTGTTCGTTACTCATTATCAGAAATTCAGAATCATTTTATTGAAAACAAATCAGACAGAATCACGAGTCTCAACGCGTCATTTTCCAGTTTCGAATAACTCAAGAAGAGCACCCAAACCAGTATGGGGCTGAAGGTAGAGGAAAGTTTGCATCCACACTTACATTAGCATTGTTGAAGCGCCAAAACTTCTTGCCTTTAAAAAAGTACGTTTTACCTGAAAGAAAGAAGGTAATTAATGTAATAATAAGCATTACTTTTGTAATTATTTCTGCACACATGTAGTGCATATGTACTAGCCCTGCATGAAAACTCTCCCAAGTTCATTTGCGTAATTACAGGAATAATTATTATGTTCTATATGTACCTATATGCAATCTCTAGCCAACTTTAGATAAGGGTGGACGTGGTGCTGTACTGATTAATCTTTACGGCAAAGGGACAGTGCCCACGTCCACCGTCACTTATCACTTATCACTTTATTATTAGTGCAGGTATTCTAGACAATACATTTTTTCAATACCAGGTAACATACATACCAGGTAACATAAAAACAACATTTGTTCCTTTTTTAGTGCTGCAAACTAAGAAATAAAAAAAGTCCTGGAACTTTTCTGACAAAGGATGTATATTAAATCTACTCTATATATGAAATTACTTTGTTGGGAAATTAGTATGTTCTGTTTGTTAGCTAAGTTAATCTCTAAGTAACAGTTTAATATGCTCTTACTTTTGTTACAACTTTTGATCTAACAATTTTGTTACTTAATTTTGTTACAACTTTTGATCTTACAATAAGTAAATTTGAACGTCTTCTATCTAAATTAAAATAAGAAAGGGAAATAGAAATGTAATCTGTTCATGCGTATGGAATAATAATATATGTGTATTAATTATTATGTAAAACTATAGCACATTAAATAAGCTATATTTAAATAGCTAAAAAGCGTAAGGTAACAGGAATCCATACTTATGATACTAATGATATAATGTATTGTAAGAATTATGTTAATTTCTTTAACAGTTAAGTTTTAAGTTCCTTTCCTGTCTTCCTGAATTTCAACTTACAACTTCCGGCCAGAACGTATTTTTAGAATCGCGTTTGAATGCAAATTGAGAAGAAGTGTTTAACCGCGAAGTTCTACTGAGTTAGAGAGAATCAGTGATTCTGGCTAGCACGCGTCCTCCTTTTTAGGCTACTCTCTCTTAAGCTATTATTACGCTCGGCCGCACTTTAGGCCCTTGTTAACTTCGCCGTTATTCAGCTTTAAGGGATCAACTCGGCTAGAATCTTAATAGCTTCGGCTATATCTTTTTAGTTAAGATTAGTTAAGTTAATTTCTCTGTTTTTGAGTTCAAACCCGAGTGGCGGCTTTATTGTAAAACTCCAAGACGGAGTTCTGTTAAACTTTGATATGGAATAATAAAAGGTCTTTAACCCTTCTCAAGCTTTATTTACTGTCTCATGAACTCAAACGATAAGTCGCTTATCAGTTCTTAAAATTCTTCAACTTTAACTTAAAAGTACACAGTACAGAATCTTACAGTATAATGATTAGAATACGATGATTACAATAGAGCTATGAAATGATAATAATAGAAAAGATAATCAGCATTTTACACTAAATGATAGATAATTGAGGCGTGAAGCTATCAAAAATAACTAAACTACTGCATCTTTAGTTCCGTTAATGTACTGATAAGAATTACTCTGGTAATGAAGAGCCACGAGGTAATAGTTTCACATTTCCCAGGTTTGCTTGATAAAATTGCCTAACTAGGCCGCCATTTGTTTACATTTGAATAATGGTAGAATAGTGAATTAAGTTATTTGGTGCACCAACTTAAGTGACTGTTTGCCCAGTGTGACCGAAAGTTATCTTTCAGTTTTGTGCACCAATTATTTTGCCTTTCTGTCCGCGGGCCGAATTGCTTGTTTTTGAGCAGAAACTCTAATTTTAATTGTAAAAAAAAAAAAAAAAAAACTGTATTTGGGTGATTAAGATTTTTCTGCATTTTACAGTTTTTAATGAAGATGGTTTGAGTCATGTGGTGTCCACATCATATATTTCAGAATCGTATAACTGGTCATTAAAGAGCTGAAATGTTCATATTACAGCTATAGAAATTATTGCTTTACGGAATGGATTTGAATGAATCTGCTTATATAGCTTATGAATTCTACTTATTTTTGTTCATGAAGCTATAGCATAAAGATGAAAGTAGAGAAAACGTGTGGATAAAACGTGTAACGAAATAAACTTCGCTTAATCCTACTTACGTAGCTCAGCACGGACGATGGGAGAGGAAAGTGATATTTTCCCGTCTTACAAAGTTTTTATTCAACTCCTTTCTAACAGAAGAGGGAGCACTTAGGAATTTATGTAATCATAAAAAGAAAGAAAGGAAAATGATTAAAAAAAAAAAAATTCTGCTTAGAATTCACATGAATAGGATAATGTTTTATATAATTGCAAATTAATAGTAAATATTTTCACGACCATTATAAATTTTAAAAAGCTTGAAACTCCTAATTTTAAACAAGTTGTAAGATTCTCCACTGTGTGCTTCTAAGTTACAGTTGAATGTGAAGAATCTTAAGGACTAGTAAGCGAATAATCGTCTGAGTTCGTGAGGTAGAAAACAACAAGTGAGAAGAGTGAAATAACCCTTTATTATTCCAACTCTAAAGTTCAACAGAACTCCGTATAGGAGTTTTACAATAAAGCCCATTGTAATGGCTTTACGGATGAATAATACATCATAAAGAAAACGAAACAAACATTTATTAAAAATTAACGTTCAAAGAATAATGGTAAACTCGGAACACTACCTCGCTCCTACAACATAATTAAATTACAACCTGCCTCCTCTGAGGCTAACATGCAGCTGTCGTCTCTCTCACTTGCTGGGCTCTGCCTGGCAGCTGATTGGCTCTGCCTGGCAGCTGATGCTGTTTTAAATACTTCAGAAGACAATTTGAAAGCTATGGATTCTAAAACTCAAGTTGATAACTTAATTTAAAAATCTGCTCCTTTAATTTTTTTCAAAATTTATTATGTTGTTTTAAATACTGCAGAAGACAATTTGAAAGCTATGGATTCTAAAACTCAAGTTGATAACTCAATTTAAAAATCTGCTCCTTTAATTTTTTTCAAAATTTATTATGCTGTTTTAAATACTGCAGAAGACAATTTGAAAGTTATGCATTCTAAAACTCATAAGTTGATAACTTAATTTAAAAATCTGCTCCTTTAAATTTTTTTCTCTCGGTTATTAATTGGCATGTATGTCATCCTAAGTATAGTAAATGTAACCAACATCATGCAGAATCCAATATTGAATATACTGTATAAACTGCGTAGGTTTTCCTTTATTTTGCATAGCAAATTTATTTTAAGTTTGATACCTTTTCTGAACTTCTCAACTTCCCCTCACATTCTCTCGCCAGGATGTAAATTTAAGTTAAGTGAAGTGCATATTTAAAAGGGTGGATCTCTGAGTTTATTCAGAGCGTGTTTTCGCTACCCAGCGCACGTTTCGTTGTTGTTTCGCTGTTACGCTAGTAACCCTCTTGGCCATATCGGAATTATCATCACGCCTGTTAGGTTTTTTGTGAGTCCACCTGTTAGGCGTAACTTACGTGCTATCCAGCAGTGCTTATTTTAGATTTTTACTTGAATGATATTCTACGATTTTACTTTCACTACAAGTTTGACGGTGTCATTGTAACGCACGAAGATCGTGCCTTTCTGTTAACTATTTTGAATTAATAAAGGATATAAGGTATTTCTCCCGCCTTCTTAGCGTGCCTTTGTGGTGTGGTGGTCTGTACGCTGGGCGCGTATTCCAGAGATGCGCGGTTCGTTTCCCGGCGAAGGCGTGGCATATTTTTATTTTATTTATTTATTTTTTTTTTAAATCTTGCCTGCTTCCAAAAATACCTAATGTCACTACAGTGGCGCACGAACAAAAAGGGTGGTGGATGATGATTCTCCACACCCAGGATTTGGCGATTGGGTCCCCTAAAAACCCCAGTCGCCCTCTAAAAGGTATTTCTTAAAGGGGGAGTATATAAGGTATTTCTCCCGCCTTCTTAGCGTGCCTTCGTAGTGTAGTGGTCTGTACGCTGGGCGCGTATTCCAGAGGTTCGTGGTTCGATTGCCGGAGAAGGCGTTGCTTCACACGCCTGTGCGAGAATTTTCTAGGCTCACTGTAGGATATAATTTCGTTTATGTAGAAAAACAGAGAACGACCTTACAACTGTTGCGGAAAATATAGATCATGGTTTCCCAGTGGAGTCGGTGTCGATCCCCCTGATGATCGATGGAATTTTAGAGGAGTTTCGGTTGAACAAGCATCGACATTTGATCGGCATTAATCAAGATTATAAAAGTGTATTAACAAAATTGCTTACTAGTTGTTTATTGCTATGCTTTGTCATGCAAATAAGTCAAATGTTGTTCAAAACACATGGGTACGCAAACTTTTAGAATTTAAAAGTCATTCGAGAGAAATATTCCAAAATAAAAGTTATTTGCCGGACTAACATTATTGACTTTTCCCTGTTCTTACCTAGTCGAAGCAAGATTTAGTCAAGTTACTAACTTACTACGGAAAATAAGAAACAGGTTGAATGTTTCTGAACGAAGTGATTTAAATTTAAACAAATGAATACCAAATATTGAAAAATCTGATGTGGACCACATGACTTCGTTGTCCGACCTATTCAATTAAACACATTTTTTTCTGCATTTCATTTAAACTACTTCCTCTAATTTCATTAGAGATATGCTTCTCGTTCAATTAATTCAGTTCTTACTTTACAGCAAGGCTAAAATACATAAAAACTCGAAACATCTTCATTAAAAATTGTAAAGTACAGAAAAACATAGAACATCAGATAAATTATAAAAAAAAAAAAAAAAAAAAAATATCAATTAAAATCAGAGTTTCTACACAAAAACAAGCAATTCAGCCAGCGGACAGGAAGACGGATTTTTGAATTGAACACAAAATTGAAATTTAACTTATGAGTCCTACTCGTCAAAAAGACACTGAAGTTGGTGCACAACATAATTAGTCACTTTTAAAGAAAAAAAAAAAAAATGCCCAATTTACCAACATGTAAGAATAAAAAACTGATTTCAACGAGCCGGCTAACAGAGTGGATATCTATATATATATATACCGAATGGTGGAGCCGAATTTAATCAAAACGAGAGGTGTACCACTACACATTATAGCAGTCTCGTAACAAAATTTCAATGTTCTAAGGCTACTATTTTTGAATTAGGGGAGATACATATATACGTACATACAGACGTACAGACATCACGAAAAAAAATCGATTCTAAAATCAAAAGGAATCTGAATTTTCATTTTATCAGTTGTTGACTTCAAGTATGTCAACAATTCTCTTTCAAAGTTATAATGTGGCTTTTATATTTGCTATATGTTATATGAAATTATATTTGTTATATGATATTATATTTGTTATATCATCTATAACATAGAAAAAATGCCTTTTACAAATGTAACTTGCAACTATTTAATTTTAAAGTAACTTGCCAAATGCTTTCAAATTTATGCACCAGATCCTTACCATCTATCCATGTGAATGCTGCATCAAGATTTGAAACGAGGCCTCTCCACCTCTGCATCCTCTGTGGGTACCCCCGTTCCATCTGCTGAGCCTTTTCGTCGTACTTCCAGTATAGATTACCACTAAAAAAGTAAGTCTTTCCATTTTTTGCCCAGACCAGTGCAGCATCCACCTTATCTAGATCAGATGGCAAGCCCAAATGAGTCAAAGGGAATGGACTATCAGGCGTGAACTGGTTGCCATCAAAAACCCAGAAATATCGGCCTGAAAAGAATATAAGATTTACATAATAAAATATCTGTATACACATGGAATTTTTTAATTATTTAAACATCAAAATAATATGTAATTTTCTAATTATTAAACTTATGTAACTAAACGCATGTAATTTTCTAATTATTAAACTTATAAATACTGTAAAGATTTCATTTTTTCCTAACCAATTATTTTCAGTTTGACTTTACTTTCCCTCCTGATTCTAGTTTCCTGTCGGAATGTAAATTTTAATGACGTTGTAAGATTTTCACTGTGTAAATCTCAGTTACTGTAGAAAGTGACGAAACTTAAGAACTAGATAGCGAATAATCGCTTAAGTTCATGTGACAAGAAACAACAAGATGGAAGGGTAACTAACCCTTTATTATTCCAATAAGATTTAACAAAACTCCGCCTTGAACTGTACAACCAAAGCCGACGCTTGGGCTTGAACTTAAGAGACTAAGAATTAAACTAAAACTAAGATTAACTAAAGAAATATAGACGAAGCTATCAAGGCTCTGAATACGGGCGAGCTTTAATAACAGCTTTGGGAGAGAGAGAGAGTGGCCAAAAGGCAGACGCGCGTAAATCAGAAACTCTGATTCTCTCTCGCTACAGGCCCACCAGCGGCCAAACGGTAAAGTCGCTGAACACTGGTAGTTCGGTCCGAAGTTCGAATCCCGCGACCGGGCTGGCTGCATGGGCGTTTTCGTGGTTTTCCCTATGTGTAACGTGTATACGAGCCAGTTTCCCTTTGAAAGTCCTCCACGAAGGCGTCCCTCCCTTTAGGCAGATAGTCCTCGAGGCTTTGCTATAATCACACACACACACACACTCTCTCGCTACAACCAAAGAACTTCGCGCTTAAAAACCGCTCTTACTCATTATGTATTCAAACGTGATTCTAAAATTACGTTCTGGCCAGAAGTAGTAAGTTGAAGTTAAGAAATTGACAGGAAAGAAACTTTAACTTAAAATTTAACTGTTAATAAAATTAACATAATCCTTACAACGTAGTATGCAAAATCTAAGTGTGTTCAGAAGCAGTATTTAAGCTGCGTTTCAAGAGTTCTGGAGGAGTAGTTAGCAGAGTTATTTCCGAGTTTATGCTGCGTATGCAGAGTCATTGAGCGAGTATACAGAGTCAGTGCGAGTAGCGAATATGCAGTCTCTGCGAGCATGCAGAGTCATTTCGACACCCTTCAAATTATATTTATGTTCTAGGCCCGGATTTGTTGTGTGCAGCTGAATTAGCAGTTTAGATAACTAAGGAGCCAATCGTTTAGCTATCCTAATTTATTGGGATTTTACTTTTCCATTTTCTGTTCGATTTAGTTTAGCCACAAGGCGGTGGTGAATTGTGAGTTTGTTACGTATATCTTGTTATGTTAGTTCGAATAAAAAGGTTATTTAAACCTTCTTCTGTAGTATCTATTCTTCAAGACAGCGACGCAGTCTACATGTAGTCTACGCAGTCTTTCAATGTAGGGTCTATCGTGAATGCTCTCGAAAGGAACACATACTATACGTAATTTTGTATTTCAATTATATCAAAGAAAAACTGCAATTATGAAAGAATATATGCTGAAGAACCAGCTAAGATTCATTTAGCTATTTTATTGTTTCCCCCTCTTCTTCCTTATTTTTTCACCACTGAGCTCCCCCACAGCGTCCTAAACTGTCTCTATATACTTATTATTATTATTATTATTATTATTATTATTATTATTATTATTATTATTATTATTGTATTATGTTTGTTTATGTTGTGTTATTATTGTTATTGTTATTATGTATTATTATTATTATTATTATTTATTATTATTTTGAATAATGCATTACGTATTTCTTCACTAATATTGACATTTCTCAGTGAATATTGATTTAATAAATGAAGTATTAAATATATAATGCATCTTATGAATGATGTGTTGATGTATACATCATTTAAAATAAATAATGCATCTTATGAATGATGTGTTTAAGATGTACACATCATTAACGAGCTTCAAAATTTCTCGTCATTTAGAACAAAGATTAATTTGTAACGCGAAAAAGAAATTTAACATTTGAAATGTTTGGCCTAACATTCAGCAACTAATAAATAGTGTAAGATTCAAATCCCGATTTTGTTAAAATATAGGAAATTCAAATTAAAATTTGAGTGAAAGTAAACTATAAAATTTAAAATATCGTTACCTCTGACATATTACTTTCAGTCTTATTCACACACAACAAAAAAATATAAAAAAAAAAAAAAAAAAAAAAAAAAAAAAACTGAAATGTTTCAGATTTTAAATTACGTCCAAGGGGCGTTTTAAAAATTTTGTGGGTTACCTTTCTTTATTAAATATCATGTTCCTCGCACTTAAACCATAAGATCCCAGTGCAACAGCAATATCGCAAAATAGTTTTAAAAGGAGCATATCTTTAGAATTTCCGATACAGAGACTCACGCGCTGGAGATAAAAATGTTTTTTCTGCACAACGTTGCCATTGCTCGCTTTGAAATCCTTGAGTTTGTTAATCAAAAAAATCGTCAAAGTTTTAAAAAAATAGGAAATCGATCATAAAACAAATTTCAAATTTCAAATTTGGTCTTCCACATGCTCATATTCGTTGGAGGAGGATTACGTTATTCAAAATTCGATGACTCTATGTACCGTTATTTTATGACAATGTGAGAAATATACATACATTTACGCAGATTTTCATTATTTAATTTCTTCAAATATAATGCAGGACTCTAACATTTATGGCAACAGTTTGAAAAGTGAACCGACATTTATGAGTCCGACGCAAAATGCCAAAACGAAACTAATAGTCCTTCGGGATTCAAATCCCCTTGGACTAATAAATAAAAAGTAAATAATAATAATAATATAATAATAATAATCATAATAATAATAATAATAATAATAATAAGAGCACTTTTAAGTTCAGTGTTTTTTAAAAATAACTAATTTTTGAGACAAATATAACATTTTAGAATTATCTAGCTCTGATGATTCTTATATTATCATTCGCTAGTATTATTAGAATTATTTTGCATTGGCATAATAATATGGTGGGTTCATGGACATTCCATAGCCCTTTTCATGCGTTGTGAGGTTTAACGACAATGTTGTGTTTCATTTTCACTAAATTTTGAAGCGTAGGCAAAACCAAACATCTTCAGACAACTTTCTTGTAAAAAAAGAATGTATTATGAATAATAAATTACATTGCTACAGATTTGTTTGAGTATTCTTCTTTTTTTATAGAATGGAACAAATTAATTTCTTTTTCACTTATTCCTATGGAAAAAATGTTGTTTCGTTTAACTAGAGTCGCATTACAAACAATATCCGGAAACAAATTATTCTCGTTAACCAACTCTTAAATTAACTCTGGTCTTCTTCGAGGTTATCCGTTTGTAATTACATTTTTATCGTAATTTTGTTTTCTTTATAATAGCAGCTGTTTATAATTGTTCATAATAGCAGCTGCCTGACATTAGTCGTAGTTTTTTTTTATTGCCAGCAAATGTGAAAACTTTTGTTTCTAATTGGCTTTCAAATCACGCTTTATCCCTCTGAATTAATTAAAATTATTTGGAACTACGTAGTACATAATAAACAAAAGAATAGTTGCCACTATGGTATTGTAAATCTGTAATCTTTTAGGGGAAATGATAGTGAAATTTTCAATAATGTGTAATTAAAAACCTTATGTGTTAGTTAAGTAAATGTATACTGGATCTCCCAAGATACGCATTTAAGGATAATAATCTTATTAAGAATTTCTACTTGCCAGTGAAGAAGACGATTTGATAGTCATGAGGCCTCTGGTATATTGCATCCACAGAACGAACAGACCAAGGAAATCCTCTAAAAAACACATGAAAAGGAACTGGATACCCAGGTGCGATCTCATTGCGATCTGAGAAGCGCCAAGTGTGCTGCAAAAAAGATAGATAATAGAACATTCAATTTAGTTTGAATTACAGTTTATTGCAAAAGTATTAAGCTTAAGTAAGTTGCATTACAAACTCATAACGAATATGAGCAAACTAAGAATTTTGCGATTAAGTCGTGTGCATTTTCCATCGATATTATTGCACAGATATTAATAAAATATAACGAGGTACGTAAACATGCACGTTCTCACGATTAGAATATTATTATGCTTCGAAACGAATTTTTTGCACTTTCTCTTCTGTGATTGAGTACTTAAAAAAAAACCTAGCACAAAATATATGATTTTTTTTTTTTCAAACGGAGGGCTATCCAACGTAGCATGACACGAAGAATATGCATACTATATGAGGTATCTTACTTAACACAAGAAGTCACGATTTTATAACACAGATTTAATATTTTAAATTTATTTCACGTGTAGAATCATTAGGATATCGAAGCAAGAAACATAAACAATATGCAGTGCCTCGAAATACGGGATCTCCTGGCTTCTAGCCGAACGTGCTTCCAGTTACACCACGAAGGCATGCAGTAAGGCGGGAGAAAATATCTTAAATTTTCTGTCACCTAAACGCAAAGATGTAATCGCCAAATCCGTTTTGAGACGAATTATCATCCAGCACATGTAGATTCGGGCGACGCTGTAGAGTTAATAGAAGCAAAAAACATAAAAATTCCGCGATACCTTTGTCGGATTCGACGTCGAGGATTGAGGATGAGATTGACGATTGAGAATGAGATTGACGATTGAGAATGAGATTGAGAATTGAGAATGAAATTGAGGATTGAGGATGAGATTGAGGCTAGAAGATGAGATTGAGGATTGTGATTGAGATTGAGGATGAGACTGTTATTATTAGTCATTTTAATTTATTAATTATTAGTCATTTCACTAAGTTTCTGCAGGTTTATTAATACTTTTTTTATTTCTAGCTACTACATGCTAATAGGAAGGAGAGAGATGAAGCACTGCGGAAGTATACTGAAAGGAAGAGAGAAAATTTTACTTAAATAATTGCAACAAAGAAAGGCCTGTTTATTATCGAAAACGCAAAGAAAAAAAAATTTACAAACCTGATTCCATCAACTGAAAGAAAGTTTCAGTCAGATGTTCATGTTGGTCGCAAGATTTTTATAAATTTAAAAAAAGAGTGGAAGAATAGAATAAAAAAATAGTAAAAATCAACATTCAACTCAACGTTCTGTTAACATAAAGTTTTAAGTCTGTTATTTACAAAATAAATTCCATTTCTTTATCCTAATGATTTTCAAAGAGTGAAAGTTCATCAAGACAAAGTAATACTTCAAAAGGTACCGCTGTATTCGTTTGAAAATATGAAAAATGATACAGGTATGGCTCATATACCTTTTCAACGTACTCTTGTGAATTCCTCTGACGTTTCACCTATCGATTATGCTACCTTTGGTCTTTTGAAAAAAGCTCTTTCTAACAGCAACCCCACCACAAATGATGGACTCTGGAAAACTGAGGAAGAGGAATGGAATTCAATACCCATGGAAACATTACAAAAAGCCCTTCTGTCATGGAAATCACGGTGTAGCCTTTATAGTCTAAAAAGGGTTATCAGATCAAACATTAAAATAATAATTTTAAGCATTCATTAAACTGTCCCGAAATCGATCTAAGAATGTGTAAACATCATCTGTACCTTACTTTTCTGCGTGGCACTTCATTGGTAATGCTTCTATTGTCATCCTATAAGGTATTTCTCCCACCTTCTTAGCGTGAATTTGTGGTGTGGTGGTCTGCACGCTGGGCGCGTATTACCATAGGTCCGTAGTTCGATTCCCGGCAAAGGCGTTGCTAATTTCAATCTATCTTCCAAAAATACTTAATGTCTGTACAAGTGGCGCCCGAACTATAAGGCTGTTGGATGATGATTCTTTAAATAAATTACCCAGGATTTGGCGATTGGGTCCCCCAGTCACCCACTCTTTAAAAGGGGTAGTATATAAGGTATTTCTCCCGCCTTCTTGGCATGCCTTCGTGATGAGGTTGTCTGCACGCTGGGCGCGTATTCCAGAGGTCCGTGGTTCGACTCCCGGCGATAGCGTTGCTTCTCCTGCTTCCAAAAAATACCTAATGTCTCTACAATCCTTTGTAGGCACTTGGGACTAATCTGCATTAGACGTTATAAAATTTTTATCACAGAAGAAAAAAAAAAACGTGCAAGGATCCGTAAAATAAAAAATAATGTATGTCATCATATTATTATCAAACTCCTTATGTGATAACTTCTTTAAAATGGACAATCTTCCTGAGAAAATAAGTAAAACAACAATATTAAACATCATATCTTTAAGATGAACGTCTACACCAAATTATCCAGAAAATCTGAGTGATCGGTTCTAGTAAAGGTTAATGCTGTTCTAGATATTTCTTCGATTCAAACGATAAATCGGAAACTAAACATATATACCAAATATAGATTTCCCAACAAAGGTTCGTATTCTTTGAAGGAAAATTTTAACGCTATTTCGTTTGGCAGATGCATATCAAATCACACCGATATTAAAATGCTATAAACTCCACAAGAATTAAAAATTAGATATATGATCTTTAATAATCTAACAACGAATTTTACTGATAAATGAGAAAATGACCTGAAAGCTGAACTTGAGAGTCGGAACAATTTTTTAAATGAGCAAATTAAACGCTGCGATAAACGGTTGTTTCGGTTATTACGGTATTTGAGATTTGAGACGTCTTTTAAAATACATTTACAAATTAATTAATTTTAAAGTTTTTCTCCTTGTATTTCTTTACAAATTATGCATATATATAATTCTACTAGAAAGCCAGGCGGTCATACGAAATGACCGCTGTTGTAGATATTATAAATTGAATTAAAATGATTTGTGCAAAGGTGTCTGCTGATTCTAACTGAATTACCTAGAGCAGGCGGTGAGGACGCCTCTCTGGTTACTGCCCCACGGGGTTTCCCTCTTCTACTTGCTGAATTGCTTAAAGTAGAGTGCAATGAAGGAAACTACTGGCGGTACATTTCTTAAGAGCCACCGCTAGCTCAATAAATAAAGGTGATTTAAATAATAAAACGTTAATTCACATGTCAAAGGTGACAACATTTCTTGTGTAGATCTTTCCATCATTTTTAAGCTCGCCTTGCAGAGGACCATCCATTATTTTTAATTTTACGTCCGTTCTTTCACTATCTCTTGAACAGGCAACATAAAGTTGATCGTGTCCAAATGCAGGCGCAGGTAAAAAAATGCCAACACGCTTAAGCGTTTGGCCCTGAGACTTATTGATGGTCATAGCAAAGGCGAGTTTTACAGAAAATTATCTACGTCTCAACTGAAATGGCAACCCTGTGCCGTGGCAACTTCCCCCCATCAGTTACGCAAGCAACCAATAAACTATCGGCGACAAACAGACACTTAAGCCGCATATATTTATATATATGGAGTAAAGAAACACCATCTCCTCCGAAACGGCTGGCTCCCGGGCTTAGGGAAGCACACCATTAGATTCTGCAGGTCCGTGGCACGCCATTTTGACCATTCGCGTCTTCGTGGGAGTTTAATTAGCCGATATATTAATTAAAAACTAATTTTCCCCTACGTTTTCCCTACATTTTCCACTTTCTTTCTTGGGTTTTCCCTATTGGAGGGATTAGGCTACGTGCCAAATTATTTTTTCTCGAATATCTACGGAACGGCGCCGAGTTGAAATTCGAGACGCGTATCCTCGCATTCCAAAAAATTCTCCGAATCCATAGATACTGTAATATCTTGTTATTTAATAATTAAAAATAATTATTGTTGAAGTGGCAATGCCGTATTTGTATTAAACCGTTACTCAGCAACGTGAGATATTGTTTTAAAAGATTAGGATTCTGAAGATTTTTGCAGCTAGGAGTAGTATTAAAATTTTGCCACTTAAGAATTGTATAAAATTTGTCTATGAAGATCCGTGAACTAGAAATAAAATTTATGTTCTAATAAGAAGATTGCCTTTGTAAATTACTGCAAAATACATTACAATACCGTTCTAATCTTCGTACGACTTTAATCGGTTGAGATATTAATTAAAAACTGCGGAAGCGTTAATTTTCGCGCTCATTTTTCCCAGTGGCAACAATAAACTATCGGCGACACACACTTTAGCCGCTTATATATAAAGATTTAACAATAGCATACTTTTTAAATATTTTAATATTTTTGTATTTATACCATTTTACATTAAAACTGCAAAACAAATACTAGAACTTTTAAAGTTGAAATTAGCTTCGAGTTGGGTTTCAATATACTCAATAGCTGATGCGTTTGGAGTAAAAACACACATTATATTTATTTAAGGAGGAAAAAAAAGAAATATTTATAAAATTTTTAATTCCTTTTAGTTACAAGCTTTTTAGATTAGTTTTTAGACCGTAATCCTAATTTTCTAGATTTCATTTATAAAACTTTTTCGGGGCAGGAGGAGGAATGGAAAATTCACAAAACGAGTCCGTAGTTCAATGTATTAGAAGGAATTTAAAGTGAAGAAACTCACCGAGCCTTTAAATACGAACAGCTCTCCCCTCACAAGTGAGGCAGCATCGATAGAACCATCGCACAAATTAGGTGTCGCAGGTCTGGGTGCTTTTGTTGGCGCCTGGGTTGAAAATCTTGATCGACTTGTACTCATTGTATAACTAATCGTAGAATCTACACCTATTGAAAATTTCACCATCAGTACAATAAAGAGGAATATACCTTATTTTTGCGTACAGAGACTATGAAAATTTAAAAAGTAACACATGATAGTAAAAACACATGTCGGATAGCAAATGAATTATAATTTTTCATCCAGTTCTCATATAAGGTATTTCTCCCGTGCCTTCGTGGTGTAGTGGTCTGCATGCTGGGCTCGTATTCCAGAAGTCCATGGTTCAATTCCAGACGAGAGCATTGCTCATTTTTCATCCGAACTAAAAAGGTGGGGGATGACGATTCTCTACACCAAGGATTGGAAACCTACACTGGGTCCCCTAAAACCCCAGTCGCCGTTTAAAAGGGGGAGTATATAAGGTATTTCTTCCACCTTCGTATTGTAAATAATTTGTAAATAATCTTTGTTCAAGTTACTCAATGTGTTTTCGTCAGATGACTATTGGACATCATAGCATTGATCAAGGCTAAGTCCCGCCCACTAGCTAGAATCAAAGCTAGAATTATATCGGCGTCCATCGAGGTTAGAAAGTGTTTATCTTCTTTGTTTTCAGATATGCATTTCTCTGTTAAAATTTCTTTCCATACCCTCATACTATTTCTAGCATCCTCTCAAATCTCATTAGCGACACTTTAATGGCTCTACCTTTTTTCATTTGTGTATTGTAGAGACATTAGTTTATTTTGAAGCCGGAAGATGTGAAAAATGTGCAATAACCTCCGCGGAACTCGAACCACGGACCTATCGAATACGCGCCGAGTTTGCTGACCACTACACCACGAAGGCGTGTTAAGAAGGCGGGAGAAATACCTTATATACTCCCCTTTTAAAGGGCTATTAGGGATTAGGGGACCCAATCGCCAAATCCTGGTGGTGAAGAATCACCATGCACCACCTTTTTTTTGTTCGGGCACCATTGTAGAGATATTACATTATTTCGAAGCAGGAGACAGGTACAGGTACAGGTAGAAGCTAGGCCAGCACCTCCGTAGTACCACAGGTAATTGAGGTATTGCTGAACCTAGCTAACTGTTAAACTTTCCACCCCAATTTTAAGAGTGAACCTCTCCGGGGGTGGTCCGAGGTTCTCCCGCCCCTCTTTTTTCTACCATCAACCACTTGAGAGGACTTTCTGAGATAAATGAGTTCTGGTATTAATAGTGTACACAAATCATATTGAGAAAAGCTGTCCTTGAAAAGTTCAACAACTGATGCTTCCAAAAGCAGAAATGTAAGAATAAATGTCTTTTCTAAGGCGGAAGGTGTAATAAGCAAGTCTTTGGAGCTCCCGTCCATCAGCATTGCGTAGATAAATGAAACGAAGCAGGAGAGATGAAAAATGAGCAAAGCCCTCGCCGAGACTCGAACCACGGACATCTCGAATACGCGCCCAGCGTACTGACCACTGCACCACGAAGGCATGCTAAGAAGGCGGAAGTACATACCTTATACAGGAGTATAAGGGAATCCAACCTTACAGTACTGGAAAAAGAATGGTTTTTGTTTTCATCATCTCTTGAAACAGGACATTATACCGTATATATTCGGGGCTTAATTTCAGCAGGAGGTCGGCTGAGCTATTTCTTAGTTGTCAAATGAAATTGTAATTCTACCAAAAACCGAAATTAACGGACCATTAGTGGTCCATTATTTTATTTAATTACTTATTATCAATTTAATAATTTATTAAATTTATAGTAATTTTTTAAAATATTTTAATAATATTAATTATTAGTTATTTTACTCATTTATTTACTCATTCCCCTTCCTCCTGACTCCCTTTCATAGGGTTAAGGAACTTCTAATTTCAGAAATTAAGCCCTGCGTGTGTTCAAGCCATTGTCAGGTCAAAAGCTGAACATTATTATCGTTAGAAAATGGCACTGGTTTTGCTGCAAATTCTGTGCAGATATCAATGAATAGTTATGACTGTTATTCACAAAAAGAAACTACACTACAGTACCTTTTAAATTCAAAATTGATTTATTCACTAGAAGTAACTGAAAACATTTCTTGGCTATTATTTAGCATTTGTTGATATTCAAAAGACTTTCTTCCATGATCCTAATACGCAACGATATTTGCATTTGTATCTGTTACATTGTAGTTCTCATAAATATCTCCGGAAAAGAAGTTATTAGACAGATATGATTGTGAGTTTTAGGAAAATTAAAACAATCTAAGTAATTTTTCACACCATGCGTTAAATTTTCAACAATATATTTTGTTCCATTTCTTTTAAATTACAAAATGAATTTAAATAATTTTCACAGCATAAAGTTAGAAATAAACCTGAAGATCACACCCTGTTGATTTTTCTGAACTTAGAGTAGTAGTAGTCGTTGCTGTTGTTGCTAATGCTCACTTGTCTGACCTATAGTCAGCCCAAGCCTATGAAATTCTTCGTGCCAAGGAGCGCAAGTTTACGCCTGTCATTGGCAACAGCCTTGAGCACCTTACAGTGCGATTTAGCTCAGTCCCCCCTCCCCCAATTTTGACGAAGACGGGTCTGACGGGGGGATGGGTCTCTGGGGTTTCCCAGCCCTCTTTTCCTATCACCATCCTCTCGAGAAGACTTTCGGCTCGTCCCATATTTAGAGTGTCCCCATACTGCATGGACACTATACACTCTCCGAAATTCGAACCCGGGTCTTTCGCCACTACGGAGAGGATTTACTCACCAGTTCGACCGGCTTAAGCCCAACTCGCCGCTATTAGTACTTTAACTAGTTTAAATGCTAATTGTTTCTGCTTCCCAGTCACCAAACATTTTACGTAACTATGTATGCCTACTTAATTATGATTTATGTTTTGTATCAATTTTGTTCTAGAAATGGACTGGTTGTAGAGTCATTAGGTTAATTGGAAGCAGAAAAGATGAAAAATATGCAACCGTCTTCGCCGGGAATCGAACCACGGACCTCTGGAATACCGGCCCAGCGTGCAAAACCACTACACCACGAAGGCACGCTAGGGAAGTGGGAGAAATACCTTATATACTTCCCTTTTCAAACGGCGACTAGGGTTTTAGGGGACCTAGTTGCCAAATCCTGGGTGTGGAGAGTCATCATCCACAACCCTTTTAGTTCGGGCGCCACTGTAGAGACATTAGGTATTTTTGGAAGCAGGCAAGATGAAAAATTAGCAACGCCTTCGCCGGGAATCGAACCGCGGACCACTGGAATACCGGCCCAGCGTGCAAAACCACTATACCACGAAGGCACGCTAAGGAGGAGGGAGAAATGCCTTATATGGTTACTTTTGGATATTATTCGAAACTTCAAAATTATTCTAGAAGGGGTAGGGCCTTCGGCCCAGGTACCCTGGTGTACCAAAGCACCGTTCCACTGGAGGCCGGCACAGCAGTCAGAGACGTTAAACACTGTACCGGTTGGTCGACCTTCGAGTATTGAGTCTCACTAAATGAAAATCTAAAGCAATTTGAGATGTAATTATAAAAAGTTGCTTAAGTTATAAGGTATTTCTCCCGCCTTCTTAGCATGCCTTCGTAGTGTAGTGGTCTGCACGCTGGGCGCGTATTCCAGAGGTCCATGATTCGATTCCCGGTGTAGGCATTGCTCATTTTTCATCTTGCCTGCTTGAAAACCATTTCAATGTGTGCGGTATATATGAGTGGTATTTCGTATTTTCAGTCATTATAACGTAAAATTGCCATGTGGCGGTGGTGCTATAAAGTATCACAAAGCACTCTCTTGCTCTACTTAGCATTAACATATGTATTGGTATATGTATAAGCAATGACTGATTATGTCGTTATTCATTATCAATGTTTACATATTTGTAATATTTTCTTAATTAATTTGTATGACACAAATTAGTGTCCTTGTAAGATTTTTGCCTGTAAGGTAAAATGTCAAATACGAATTGCCCATTATCTGTACAAATTGTCCCTATACTTAGTAAAAAGTTAGCTTATGATTGGTATATGTATATGCAATGACTGATTAGTAATTGTAATATTTTATGTAGCATTTGTGCATTTTGAATTTACAATGCATGAATGTACTGAAGGATTTAAACTTAAAACGGTAACATGTAAAAATGAGTAGCGCATAATCAGCAGAATAATGTATAAAACTGCTGCTACTCATTATCAATAATTGCAATTTGTATTTCGTAATCTTTCACCATTTGTATGACATAATTAAGTGTAATTGTAAAACTTTTTTTAAAAACAGTAATACGCCAAACACGTGTAGCCCATAATCTGTACAAATTTAATACTCTTAACAGGAGTTTAATGTGTATGTGTTTGTGTATATGTAATGGTAAGTTAAGTATATGTATTGTATCCTTGCAGCATCATGTATGATTTGAATACATCATGCATAAGCGTATTGTAGGATTTAAATTTCAAACAGTAATATGTACAAAGTGAATAGCCTTAATTGCAGAATAATGTATTAATTGTATAACTTTTCAATGTCTGCTATTTGTATTTTGTAATATATATCTAAACAACATGAACATATATAGTGCAATTGTAAGGTTAATTAAAAGGTAATTGTCAAATACGAGTAGCCGCACAAATTGTTTACTATTAACAAATTTTGCATATGTATTGTATTGTAATAGACCTACTGTTTGGCGGATAACAGGTATCTTAATGTCATAATTCTATAATCTTATTGTGATCAACTATGTAATTGTATGTTAACCTATGTAAAGATTCTGCCTTTGTTTGGCACTGTACTTTTTATTCCTGGAAACAAATTAACACTGGACCTGGCATTTTGGCTTAGAGTATCCTCGGGAGCATTTGGTCGGCTGGACTGCTACCCGATGAATAGGGTGTGGGGTCTGGGCGTCTGGTGCGAGTCTCACGTGTGGCTTATTTGGCCTTGCTCTGGATATTGGAGGACGTGGCGCTAAACCAATTAACCATAACGGTAAAGGGATGGTGCCCACGTCCCCCGTTCCTAATCCTAATCCTAATCTTGCCTGCTTCCAAAAAATGCCTAATGTCTCTACAAAGTCAAAAAACAAGCAATTACAACTTATATTTGTGTTCTATTCATTAAGTATGAATCGTGTTCCACAGAATGGCTTCAAAATAAAAACAGAAAACAAATAATTAATTGTTTTTGCCTACTTTCTGTGAAAGGTCTTTCGCTCGGAGAAGCTGTAATCCCTTCATCATCATGGGATCCGTACCCAGGTGTGATTTCATCACTGTCCGTTGGCTGAGATGGGTAATTATCACGAGGATCATATGTTGGTGCATCCCAAGTGTCACTATCGGTTGGATGGTAAGAATCATCTTCAGTAACAACGTCAGTATCTTCAGGATATTGAGATGCGTCCTCTGTACGCGGATAATAGGAATCTGTGTACCCATACAGCTCCTCATCTTCAAACTTCGCATCTAAGACTTAAAACATAAAATTTTAGATTAAAATCCAAACACGTCTTATTTAAACACAATGAACTGTTTAACTTACTACTGACTTAACATTACTGAACTTAATAGGTGAGTAATATTTGAATTTGTCCAATTGTCCGTGACTTTTTGAAAACATATTTTATCGCTGATGGAAAGGTAGCATAGATTTCATCAACTGGATTTAATCATGGACAATTACATCAGTATAAATCTCGTATTATCCATTATAAGAATGAAACTTTAAAGGTACTTAACCCAGCAATAGGCACACCACAACTTTCTACTCGTTTTCAGTTGGTTTATTTTTGCATTTTTCTGCATCTCTTGTACCACAGGAATTATTTAGGAAGAATTCTTTGTATATATTTCGATACGTTAAAAATAGAGAGAGGAAAAAATAGTTGGTTTAAAAGTTGCAGAACAATAACACACATCTCTATATGTGAAACAACATGAATGACGAGGATTGAAAACATCTTGCGCAAAATAACATGACTCTGAGCAGCATCTAAACTATCAATTCTATTTATCATGATATTTTGGAATTTAATGTATCGCAATGAGTTGCAGACTTTTATTCCCTTCTCCATGGAGAAATCATAATGCACGTACCAGATGCTGTTATGTATGTTACTCGAATAGATTTTTGTTATTTTGCTGTACATGGATATTTGCGTAAAAGTATTTATAAATCTGTTGTATTTAAGTATGTATGCAAGTATCATTCTGAATTTTCCTTTTAACATGTTTTTAAGGAGATTTTATTATTCTGTAAGGATTATGTTAATTTTATTAACAGTTAAATTTTTAAGTTAAAGTTCCTTTCCTGTCAAATTCTTAACTTCAACTTACTACTTCCGGCCAGAACGTAGTTTTGGAATTTGCTGAATATTTAATGAGGAGGAGCGGTATTTATACCACGAAGTTACTTACTGAGTCAGAGAGAATCAGAGTTTCTGATTTACGCGCGTCTGCCTTTTTCGCCACTCTCTCTCTCAAAGCTGTTATTACGCACGGCCGTACTCAGGCTCTTGCTAAGCTTCGTAGTCAAATAAGTTAAGGGGCCAGCTCAATCTGAACCTTGATAGCTTCGGCTATACTTCTTTAGTTAATCTTAGTTTTAGTTTAATTCTTAGTCTTTTAAGTTCAAGCCCAAGTGCGGGCTTTGCTTGTATACTCCCAGGCGGAGTTTTGTTAAATCTTATTGAAATAATAAAGGGTTAGTTACCCTTCTATCTTGTTTCTTGTCACCGAACTCTAGCGATTATTCGCTTATCAGTTCTTAGATTCCTCACTTCCAACATTAACTTAGAATTCCAAAGTGAGGTACTCTACAATTCTTTTGCTGCACACTAATATTTGGGCATAAGTATTTGTATGTTAGCTGTATTTAAGTATGTACGTAAGTATTATCTTGCAATTTCTTTTTGGCAAGTCTTGTGTACACCTATGCCTTACTATTCAGTTTATTTTAATTTCAATCCAGTAAACAATGTTCTGTTCTGTTTTTATGTATATTTTAACGCGTTTACGCATTAGTATTTATAAAAGGCTGCTGTATTTTAGTATATATGTAAGTATCATTCTGCATTTTCTTTTTTGCAAGCCTTGTATATATCCTCGTCTTACTATTCAGTTTTCTTTAATTTCATTTCAATAAGCATGTATTGTTTTCTTTTTATGTACATACATTTGCGTCAACTGTGATTATAGGCCATGAGAATACCGCTTTCCCAATTCAATTATTATACTTATTTGTGTATATCAAAACTGCATTAATGCTATTAGCGCTGCATATACTAAGTGCTTGTATTAATTAATCACGTTTTCCTCCGTTTTTCATCTTTATTGATCAACTAGGATGATTTTTAGCTACTATGCTTCGCTCAAGAACGAAATACAGAGGCTGTTCACAAAATTTTTTAGACGATGTATATTCACAAAACTAAATTACATAAAATTCTTGTGTTTTAAATGTTCTATTTGACATCCCTTATTCTGAACTATCTTTCGACAGCGCAATTTCCAGGATAATAATGCCTTTTGAAGTGGCAGAAGAGGTATTCTATCGCATTCCTCCCGAACAGCTTTCCAGAGTCCTGTTAGGGTTTTGGGACAACGTTTGGAGAATGCAGTTTTAAAAGTCCGAAAGCACAAAAATCCATCGGTGACACATCGGGAGATTCAGTAGGGATATCAGTGAAGGGTACGGCCTTAATGCCAGTTTTTTGTTCCATTTCTTTTATGAAACTGACAGTGGATTTTGATGTGTGACTGCTAGCTTTGTCCTGATGGAGTCTCACAGATTGATGGCAACAAACCAGCAATAATCATGAATCCCTTAGAAAAACTTTCTTTCGATTCTTTGAACCATGTACTTAAATTTTTTTCTCCCCTTTTATGATAATAAATGGCTCTTTTTTTTTGTTACAATCATTTAAATACACCCATGCTTCATCTATTGTGACAATTGTTTTCCATTTTTCTTTGGATAAGTGTTTCTCATACAGAATTCTGCAGCGTGTCCTGCGTTGAGCCATAGGCTTTGGAAGAAGACAATGCACATTGCGTTTTTTCGCTTTCTTAAGATTTAAATCAACGTTTATCATTTTATTTACAGAGGACACCGAGCATTTTAAGTATTTGCAACTGTTTTGACTAGGGGGATTTTCTTTTAACATTAAACAACGTACCTTTGCAATAGTCGAAGATGTCCGTTTTTTCCTTGGATATTAGTTTGGAATTTTTGTCCCACTTGAGGCTCCAATTTGACCTTTTTTTTTTCCTTTCTTGTTGATGATATTACCTATCGACGCTTTAGATATCACAATACCATGACTCTCACATCGATTTTGGATAACGGAGTATGCATATTTCTCTTCGAAAAGAGCGTCAATGTAGCCTTCGAACCACTGCTTTGTTAAATTCGCCATTTTGAATAAAAACAAAACTTTCAAGCCACAGACGATAATTTTGACTTTTAAAAACATAGTACAATTGCAATTACTTTATTTGCAGCAAACGATTTTTTATTACCGCTTACCAAAATCGTCTAAAAAATGTGCGAACAGCCTCTGTATGTTGGTCGCCACTCAATAATCACCCCGGTTTGATGTTTTAAATGCTTACACCTTGAAATGTTCTGTTTAAAAGCATTTAACAAAGGGTGATTAATAGTTTCTTAGAGTTCTTTTTATTAGCCCAAACGAGCGTTAGCCCAGAAGGACTATTAATTTCGTTTTGGCATTTTGCGCCGAAAATTTTAAAAGTCTGAATCACTTTTCAAATTGTTGCCACCAAATATTATTACCATGTGCTATATTTAAAGAGAAGAATCTGCATAAATGTATGTATGTTTCTCGCATTGTAATAAAACGATGGTACCTAGAGCCATCACATTTAGAATAACGTACATTCCCACCCGAATATAGGCATCTGGAAGCTCAAATTTGGAATTTGTTTTATTGTCTATTTCATATTTTGTAAAGCATTTATGAGTTTTTGTTTAAGAAAAGCGATTTCAAAGCGAGGAATGGCAACACTGCACGAAAACATTATCTCCAGCGGGTGAGAGTGTGCATCGGAAATTCTGAAGATATGCTCTTTTTAAATTATTTTGCGATATTGTTATTGATTGAATTTTATGGTTTAAGTGCGAAGAACATAATATTTAATAAATAAAGTCTACTTTACAGAACGTTAACAAAATGCCCCTTTGGGCGTAATGTAAAACCTGAAAGCTTTCAGATTTTTTTAAAATCGTTCTTTAATTGCTTACACGTTTTTTTACATTTTTTTTCGCTTTCGTAACGAAAGATTGGTTTACATCTCAGTCTTGCAAAATTTTTCACTTCTAGTTTACAGTCACAATTATTTTACACTATACATCTTATTCATCTTGTACTATACATCTTTCCTCAGATAGGATAATCTAGTAAAAAATAATTTCTTTCAGAATATATAATGGCCAACAATAAGAATAGCTTATATAATGGCCAACAGTAAGAATTTCTTCTGCTGGCCATGACCTTATCCACAGCAGCACTGTTTATAATATTATTATACAATTAAAATATTGATTCTTTTGTATATTGTAAATGCTTACAAATACCCCTGCATTAAGGTATGGTCATTCGTGTTTGCTTGTCTCATTATAAACAAAAATATAGTTTCGTCATCAGTTATGCAGCCTCAAAGTCATATAAACTTACCATACATGGAATACATAGCTACAATGTCATCATAATCGAGTCTCATATGAGGATTGTAACCCTTGTAGTACGGGAACATGATGGATCCTGATACAGTTGAATGAGCCAGACCCAAACTGTGACCTATTTCATGCTACGGTAAAAAAGTCAACACCATCTCCTATAACACCAAGCAAATATAAATAAAATTATTTCAAGACTCATAATATGATTTTAAAAAATGCAAGCATTACCTTTAACATTCACACTTTAAAAAATGTTTTACAGAAAGCAAAATCGGGTTGTTAAAAGATTAAAAGATCCATTCCATTTTGCTAATTGTTTTAATTGAGGTAAAAATGTACGCTCGTTTCCTATTAAATTCCCCAAAAATTTATATCAATAATTATTTATTTGCCTGATAGTGTAATTTTAATATTATAAGCTATTCATTCAACTCCACCGTCGCTTTAAAAATTATATTCTAATTGCGTGCTATTCTTGGATTTGTGATCCATTAGACACTATATTAGAAAAATATAGAACCACTTAATAGTTCTGTGAAACTTCATGCTTTTCAGACAATAAATTCTAATGTTAATTGTTTATATTTCGTGGATTGTTTGTGAACGATATGGTCACATAACATATTTAATATCATGAATAGTTCTAGAGCAACAATGACAATCAGTAACAACTGCAAAGTAAAGCGAAGAGTAATAAAGTTATATCCACAGAGCTCCACGTTGAAGACGTGTGGAACATCGCCTTCAGTTACATTGTCTTCTTCAAGTGGCCGGACCATACCTAGTTCCTAGCTCTTGCCGATGATGTGGCATTTGGGATAATAAATGGGCACTCGAGGGACATACTAGAAAAGAATAGCAATGAGACACTGTTCACATTCCGTCATCTCTGCTTCTCTCAAAAACTAATAATTTTAGAGCCCAAATCGCATACTATCTTACTTCCAAAAGCAGGTAAATCGCTACAAAGGCTGTCTTGTATAAAAGCCAATAACAGAAGTATTAAGATCATATAAGAAGACCTATTTTTAGAATTGAAAATGGACCAAAAGTTTTCTTGGATCCCACACCTCATGGACATTCGGAATAAAACCCAGAATATCTCTAGAGCATTAATAAGAATACAAGGCATAACGTGTGACCTACAGGACGGGGACAGGGAAAAATGGACGGAGCACCAGAACTTTGTCAGAACGCCGCACTACTGTACTCACTGGGCTTTCGGTTGGCCCGCATCGGATGCCAGGCTAACAAGACATTTACATCGAAACTTTACATTAATACTAGATTTACGTATTGAATATACAATTACAAAGACACAGTATACAATGATTACAAAGAAATTAACCTATTAACAAAAGTTGGTTATGGCAGATTAATATAACATAATTACTTCGAACATACATACATCATACAAACTTTTATTGTACTTCATACAAACAATATATTTACATTAGTATATCTAATTACATCGAATTACAATGTCGAAGATGCAAAGGCATTCTTTATAAAAGTAGGATTGAAAAGATAATTCTTTATGGGGCACCGGTATGGGCTTGCCCACGACGGCGAGGAAGAAAGGACTTCTAGCTTCGATTCCAAACCAGGACTTAAAAGAGATCTATTTATCCCTGGACTTAAAAAGATCTATTTATCCCTGGACTTAAAAGAGATCTATTTATCCCTGTACTTAGAAGAGATCGATTTATCTCTGTTTATCCCTGGATTCAACGTCCCTTCCTCTTACGAAAAGCAAAAGCACTCAGTAGTACCTTAAGTCGCGTATTTTTATACACAAATGTCCAAAAATTAAGGATAATGCAAAATTAGGCAAAGGAAGAGTTAGAAGCAAAACAAATTTGACTTATTTGTAAAGCTTATTTATTAAACAAAAGGTAAAGAGCAAAAAAAGATGCTATATGTTTGATATTATTAAAAAAATTAGCGATTTTTTCTCCCTGGAGCAAATTACCAAAAAAAAAAACATATTTACAAAAAACCAATATTACATGGTTGGTATGATTGTTAATACATTGTATGTCTCCCAGACAATGCAATACAGTCCGTACAACGCCTAGGCATGCTGAGTATCAAATTATCGATCTGATCTTGGGGGATATTACACCACTCAAAAAGCAATGCACTCCGAAGTTCCGGTAGACATGTAGAAGGAGGTTGACGGGCTGCAACTCGTCGGCCAAGCATGTCCCACACGTGTTCTACTGGTTCAAGTCTGGTGAGAATGCTGGCCAGTCTGTACGGGTGATATCCTCCGATTGAAGGCATTCGCTTACGATATTTGCACGGTGAGGACTGGCGTTGTCATCCATAAAACAAATTGTGTGCCCATGGCACCCCGAAACAAATGTACATGTTGTTCCAGAATGACGTCCCGATAGATATGGCTTGTCATGATTCCAATTTGAACATGAAGGTCAGTTCTGGAACCCAGAATAATTCCACCCCAAACGAGCACTCCTACACCACCGTAACGGTGTCGTTCAATGATGCTTTCTTGGTGGTAACGAATACCTGGAGCTCTCCATATGAAAGTCCGGCGAGAATCAGACTGCAAGCTAAACCTGGACTCGTCGGAAAACATCACACAAGCCCACTGTTGCGGTGTCCACAAGCATGCTCTCTACTCCAGGCTAACCGCAGGCGACAGTGAGTTGCAGTAAGTGGAACGCATCTGACAGGTCTACGAACATATAAACCAATCTGCCCTAAGCGTCTGTACACGGTCTGCCTTGAAATTGTCGTACCAGTGGCTGAAGAGAGCTGACGAGGCAGGTCTCAGGCTGTGCTCCACCTGTTTGTTTTGGCAGTAACTGCCAAATACCGGTCCTTATTCGGCGCTGTAACTCTGGGGCGACCTGTGCTGTAACGTCTACTCACATTACCATCATCTTGGAATGTTGCCAAAGCCTGGAGATGATACTCTGGGCAATTCCAAGTTTGTCTGATACTTCCAGTTGGGTACGCCCACATTCCAGACGGCCGATAATTCTACCACGTAAAAAATCATCCATTTGCTTCCTTTGTGTCATAACTATTCGGTTATTGCACTGAAATGCTTATAAAGTGCCTGCGAAAAATTTTACTTCTTTGCCTGTATTCCTTATATATCACTCTCTTACACTCTCGTCATTGTGACGTACCATCAGTGTCATCTAGTTACTACCTGAAATTGCATACATACGGTTCTTGAAGATGTGTGTAGTGATTTTACAGGTGATATATTTATTTTAGAGTTCGATTTCCGCGTGACTCCGAATTATCCTAAATTTATGGACATGAGTGTAATTCAAAATGTGTCAAATAACTATGTTCTAAACCAGTGATTGCCAAACCGTGGATCGCGAGCTACAAGAAGGTCGCGGGGACATCTTCTGTAGGTTGCGTTAACTATCTTCGGTTCGGGGACATCTTCGGTTGCCTAAACTTGATTCCTTCACTGAGCTGGTACTGACAAGAAGACACTACTGCAGTGGAGTTGGAACTGATTGATTTAAAAAATGATTTATATGTAAAATCGCTTTCAAGCTATGAAATATTTGGCCTCTTTTTCCTTGAGGAAAAAAATACCCAATTTTAGTTTAGGTTTGTCTCAAAGTGAAGGCAATATTCAACTCTATACATCTGTGTGAGATTTCTTTTTCCAATATGAAATTTATTAAAAACAAGTACAGAAACAGACTCATTGATGATCATTTGCACAACTGTATTCGAATTCCAGCTACTACCTACTCTGCCAACATTAAAAACTTCTTGATAGCAAAAAAAAGGAGTTCCATTCTTCTCATTTAAGTTAATAAGTCTGATTAAAAAAAAAGTCTGTTATTACATTTGTTATGTTTTCCGTGCTCTTCAAGTTTGCTCCTCCAAACTAGCCCTTGCTGAAGAACTAAATTATTTAAAAGCAATAGCTATTGACAGGGGTTTTCACCCAAGATTATTAATCAAGCAGTTAAAAAATTCTCATCTCAACACACTAAAAGGCACACTCTTGTTTTAGGAGATTATAAAAATTCTGTTGTCATTCCCTTCTTTCCATCAATTAGCTATAAAGTTGCACAAATTTTGCAGAAATTTAACTTTCGGGTTGTTTATTCTCCCATCAATAAAATTCCATACTCAAGGACCACATTCCGGATATGAATTCTTGGGGTATTTGTAGGATTCCTTGCCAGTGTGGTTTAATTTACATTGGCCAAACTAAGAGAGCCTTAAAATTTCGCGTCAAGGAACATGAGGCATATGTTAGAAAAAAGGAAACACAGAAGTCTTCTGTTGCTCAACACTGTTGGTCCGAAAATCACACTTTCAATTTTTCTGCTGCCAAAATTATTCAAAAAAACATCTTCCATTGGAGAACTGGATTTTCTAGAGGCATTTCACATTCAAAAAAATCTTTCTGTTCTAGTTAACGATCCTAATTCCAATCCATCTTTTCCTTCGGCCTTTAAAGAAATTATGTTTTAGTTCTGATTTCACCAACAGATGGCGGCACTTGCTTATTCTTGTCCAGGCTTTCTTATCTTATCTAATTATTATTTCCTATCTTGTTCATTTGCGGTTTTGCAGCTGAGGATGGTGGTTCGGTAAAACCATCGAAACTAGTCCTGTGAAAATTTTGAAAATATAACGCGGATTTTTGTTGTTTGACTTCTGAATTAGTATTTATTCGGCGTGTTATTGTGTCTTAATTACACTTCAATTTCTTTCTTATTTGCAAATCAATTTAAATTTCTTTCTGTTATATACAGTTTAATTAAAATTGATTTCAAACTTACTAGAAATGTAAGTTTATAAGCGATAAACAATGACAAGATTTTTTAAAAAGTAGTTAGTAATTCTTTTGGGTAGCTCACAGTAAGATTTAGAAACGGTATGGTAGCTCAGAAACTTCATTAGTTTGGCGACCACTGTTCTAAACCACTAAAAATTTAAAATTTGCAAATATATTCAAGGAACAGAATTAATTCTCCATATGTTTTTACCATAATGTTAAGAGAACCAACTTAATCCGTGATACTAACTGTCGTCAGATACTGATCCATCGATCCATGGTTCGTCATCGTCAAAATGGACGTCACCACCATAAGATCCATGTTCATAGGGAAAGAAAGCATGAGCGAGTATACTTCCTGGACCGTCGAAGGGGTAACCGTCTCCGTGAGGTCCGCGACCAAAAGCTATAATTAGGTCAGCATCCATACTCTCACGAGGCACAAAGCTAAGGGGTGACACTTCAGACCACAGTTGAAAAGCTTTCTTCAGTTTGGAACGGGTCACTTCGAAATCCAACTCCGCAGGCCAATTTGCAAGACTGGAAGAAAAGGTTGGGATCAATTGCAGAAAAACTTTTGCGATGTAATAGCTACAGACACGAAATATTTCGTTATTGGAATCCCTATATTGTAAAATATTTTATTTAAGAATTTTTGATCAGTGACTCTCTATTATTCTAATTGCTATTTACTGATTCTCAGTTTTACGTAAGCTAACTTTTCTAATTAAGCAACAACTTGCATTTCAGAAACAAAGTGTTTGTCACTCTTCCTCCTAAATTAAATAACACTGGTGCAGCATTTCTTCTAAGGCTCATCAGCGGCCGAGCGGTAAAATCGCTGAACACTGGTAGTTTGGTCCGAGGTTCAAATCCTGCGAACGCGCTGGTTGCATGGGCGTTTACGTGGTTTCCCTATCTGTGTAACTTGTACACGAGCCAGTTTCTCTTAGAAAGTGCGGCAGATAGCCCTCGAGTGCTTTTCCTAATCAAATAAATAAAAAACATTTGTTCCAAGAGAACATTGCGTGAAGCTGTGAATTAAAAGAATATCACTTTAACGAAAACTTTCTGCAGCGAAAAATTGGAATAAGAATCTTTGTTTTTCACTGCAAACAACATTAAATCAATAACGGTATTAAAATGCTGAATAAGCCGAATTATAAAGATTATTCATTCAAAAAATTATTTCACGACTATAATGCTGTAGAGTTCCTCACTCTTATTCTGCTAAAGTAAATGTAGAGGAACCTAGTGAACTGCTAAAGTAAATGTAGAGGAACCTAGTGAACTGTTAAGAGAATTATCGCTTAGTTCAAATAACAGAGGTCGTAAACTCGAGAAGGGTTAATACCCTTTATTCACTCAAAATTAGATGAACAGTCGGCCCCTTTCTTCGAGCTTACAACAAAGCCTCTACTTGGGCTTAAAAATAAGAACTAACTAAGAGATTTATCCTAAGCCAACACAATTCTAACGTAGTTGGCCCTTAGTTTTTAAACTAGCCGGCGAACTAGCTAAAGGTACGTAATATACGGCCGAGCGTAACAGCAGTTATAGAGACTTAGCCCAAAGGCAAACGGGCTCTACGCAGGATTCCTAGCTATCTCTCTCTCTCGAAGTAAGTTAAACTTTCACTTAATACTGTTTCTTACTCATTTGCATTCAACGCAATTCCAAAAACTCATTCTGGTAGGTAGTTGTAAGTGGAAACGACGAACGATAGGAAAGGTTAACTACACTGGTTATCATAAATTAACGAAAAATCGCAAAAGTCACGATTACTGAAAAAGTTACATGTAGAATTTTATTAAACTTACCCACAATATACAACACATAAAAAGATATCAAATAACATAAAAATAAATTACCAGACAATTACGGTAGCATAGAAATTAGCACATATATAAAATGAACAACTCGAAGGTGTCAGTTTGCTGAAAAGTACCTTCAATAGGGAATATGGTCGCCTCTAGAATCAATACAGCACATAGTTATGCGTGATGCTTTCAATTATGCGGTCTATCAGTTCCATAGGAAGCGAAAGCCATTGCTCTTGCAAAGCTGTTGCAAGCACGGCAAGGGTCTGAGGGGGCAGACTGAGAGCATCTAAACGTCTCTCTAAATCATCCCAAATGTGCTTGATAGGATTCAAGTCCGGGAATCGAACTGGCCACTCCATGAGCATAATTTTTTTCTGTTGAAGATAGTCATCTACGATGCGAGCCCTGTGTGGTCTTGAGTTATCGTCCTGTAACAAAAAAGCATTTTGCCCCGACACATGGGTGCATATAAGCATCAAGGATGTCATCTCTATAAACCGGAGCATTCACGGTTTCCGTTGGAAAGACATGGAGGTCTGTGCGTCCACCCAAAGAGATGCCAACCCAAACACAGACACTGCCTCTTCCATATGTATCTCTTTAACGGATGTTTGACGGATGATAACGGGTTCCAGTTTCTCTCCATATCAAATAACGCCTACTATCGCTTTCTAGACTAAACCTGGACTCATCCGTAAAGAGAACAACCCTCCACTCATCAAGCGTCCAGTGGACATGTTGTCGTGCCTACTGCAAATGGTCCCTCCTATGGCAAGACGTGAGCTCCACGCAAATGACTGGTCGTCTCGCATACAGACCACCTTTGTGAAGCCTTCTACGCACAGTTGACGTTGACACCAACCTTCCGGTGGCTGCAGCAAGGGAGGATGTAAGAAGAGTCGGAGTAGCGGTTCTATTCCTGTGTGCACATGTCAAATATCGGTCATCAGCGCTCATCATAGCAGTTGGCTGTCCTTGGCTGAACCTCCTAGAGGCCGAATATGTGGTTTGAAATCGCCTCCAAAGTCTATGAACCACAGAAGGACTCACATTTAGACATCTGGCCACTTCTGTTTGACTTTATCCTGCCTCTAGTCTCCCAATAGCTCTCCATCGTAGTTCTGCTGGCAAATGATGCCTGGAGGTCATTGTTACGAATTGGTTATCTCAGATTTCTGATGTCACTATCTCAGTGAAATACGTATATGGGCTTGTTCTCAAACATGGACCTTTATCCTCCTCGCAGATGACGTATTCCGAGTGCAGCGCCACTAATTTGCATATCTCAGTTTTACTCAGCTACTCTTACTTGGCAACATATTCAAATTTTACACGGTTTGGCTTATTTTTGAGCGAGTTATCGCTATTTTTGTGATTTTTCCCTAATTTATGATAACCAGTGTAAATTAAAATAACTGTTAGAAAATTAAAGTATACCTTATAAAGTTATTCATTGAAAAATTACTTCCCGATTAGAATGCAGTATAATTATTTCTGCAGTAAGGGCAGTAGAATGAATGTCTTACAAGTAGGTGAGCTTCTTTTTCCGCCATGCATCCGAGCCAATGATGTACCTCTTGGCTCGACGAGATTTGATGACGTCGGGAACTCCACATCTGGGAGCACGGGTTAAATTGAGAGTCGCCTCGTCCAGTTCGCCTGTCTGAGGTAGACCACCGAATTTTTGCATCTGCTGAACAGCCTTCTTGAATCCTTCTACTGTGTACAAAGCGTCGACAGAAGCGTTACCGGAAGCATCAATGTAGCCGAATTTCTTCATAAAGGCTTCCTGAAAATGAAAAATACCATTTATTCATGCAACAATCTACTGTTGCTAAGTCTCGAGGAGAATTAAAACTGTTTTTAGTTTAGACCGAAGTAATACATCTGTATATTTTGTTCGAATGTAATAGGGGGACCGGAAAGTAATTTCGTTTCTGCGCATGTCGACAACAACATGCTAAGGGCAGAAGTGGAAGCAAATCCGTGTTCGGCGAAGTCAATTGAGTCTCTGCGCTGCTTTATTCTCGACTGCAGATTTTGCTTTTTGTATTTTTCAATAAGTGCGACCACAGTTTCAAGTAGTTCTGAACATTTTCATCTAGTACCCATGACATGGCATCATTAATAGGTTTTGGAACTTTTCTTGAGGGCGTTAAAATAATTTTCACCCGGAATTAGAAAATATTTGAATATATAAAGTAATGGGAAAGACAAATCTTATCAAAATCCCTTAATTTTTTATTTTTAAAATTTACATTACTCGTATTCCACAACACAACATTTTCTATATGCAAATCTATTAGTTGAGTTTCGCTTCAACAAAATGCAGCCATGTTTATTATTCCAAATGAGGAGAAAAGCACGTGATCACTCAAAGCAATCTTATTGGCTAGAGACTCCGATTTTATCGTACGCTAATGAGCAGTGAACACCAGTTCTGAAATCGCGGCAGAGAACATGACCGATTTTTGGCGCATGCGCAGATCCTTAAAATTGTTGCTCTACGAGAAAGTCGGCCGAGAAAATCGCTTCGTGTAGACGGGCCTTTAACCAACCTTGGTCGACCCTTCAAGAACATTTAAAGCAGAATGGAAAAATAAGCAAAGCAGGTGTTTGGGTCCCCCACAATCTGTCCGAAGAGAACAAAGCCAACCTATCCATCAAATGCAACGTATTGCTTGAACGGCACCATACAAAACAGTTTTTTGATCATTTGATTACTGGAGACGAAAAATGGGTCCTATATGATAATCCAAAACGCAAAAGGCAGTTTTAATAGGGGTTACAAAGGTTTTACATCCCAAAAAGACACTTCTGTGTGTTGGTGGAGTATTCGCGGAATTGTTCATTTTGAATAGCTGAAACTTGGACAAACTGTTAATGCAGATCTTTATTGTGAACAATTGGATCGAGTGAACCAATCTTTAATCGAAAAATATCCGGCGATTGTCAATAAAAAAGGCATCACTCTGCAACACGATATTACATATTTCCAGCGTCATTTTGACTAGAGGGCGCTGTGTTCGTCCCAGTAGTCAGTGGCAGGCAGGATACTAAAGGTGTAGGACATGGAAGGCAGAGATGCCTAATAATATATCTCTAATTGATTGAGATTTTCATATATTTTCTTCGTAAATAAATGTTGTTATTGTTTACAAAACCTCTTATATCTTGGATGCACCTTTAGTCTCAAAGAACCATTAGATGCAAAACACGACAATGCAAGACCGCACTGTGCAAGACGGACACTGGAAAAAATGAATGAATGGGGATGGGAGGTGCTGCATCACCCACCATTACTCGTCCGATATCGTACACTCGGATTTCCATTTATTCCGATCCCTACAACATTTTCTTAGTGCCAAAAAATTTGAAAATTGAAATGATGTGCAAAATGCCATCTTGAAGTATTTTACTCAAAAACCAATTGATTTATATCGGTCCGGGGATTGAAAATCTGCACACTAGATGGCAAAAGGTTGTTGATAACATTTTTGATTAAAAATAAAAACGTGTTAAAAATTTATTCTTGTGAATTTAATGTAAGAAAGCGACATTACTTTCCGGTTCCCTATTAACAATATGCGTTGCTACGATGATTAAACATATGAAGAAGAAATGATAAATGCATAATAACAGAATAACAAACACTAAGAAGTACATTTTTATACGAAAATTCTTTGATGATTGTAAGCCAGTATAATTATACTAACTCGTGATAGACATATATTTATAAATTACATACAAATTAAATTTAATAATCTGATTAAGTTAGAAATTTATAAAAGCCATATTTAAAGAATGAATGCATAATGCTTACAAACAACCCGACGGAGGCATATGTTAATATGGAATATTATCCACTCCGAATCGCGATGCAGTGCTCCCAGCGTCGTGGTATGCTTAGCGCCAAACCAATGAATTAACAAACCGCCCTTAACATGTTGCTTACTTTTGTATGTTGCTTAGAGGACATGTTGCTTACTTTCTACTATATTAAGTTACAGTAAGACCCCGCTTAACGCGGGGGATACGTTCCATCAAAGTAGAGCGTAATGCGAAACAGCGCTAAACGAGGCTATCTTTACATGTAAATATTGGGGTTAGGGGAAGATGGCTAGGAAATTGGTTAGGTATTAAATTTAAAAAGTACGTTTTTTTAATAAAAATAAAACCAAACATTTATTTCTTAAAGCCCAAATTAATACCACATTATTATTTCTTGCAAAAATAAAAACAAAATATAAATAACAAAACGAATATTATTAAAAAAAACAAATAAAATTCTCAGTCATATTTAGTTAGCCTTCCGCGTTTTCAGTGTTCTGCCTTTTTTTGACAAAAGCATCTAATGTTGTTTGTCTTTTTCTTTTGCCTTGTTCTCTTAAAAGTTCTTCATAAAACGGATAGAGCATCTCTAACACCACGCCTTACTTTTGAGCTCCTGTCAAAATTCGGATCATTTTCAATGAATTGATCCATTATTTCAGTTATGGTAGACAAACTCCTTTTTACAAACGCCATGTCTGAGGTAGACCACCGAATTTTTGCATCTGCTGAACAGCCTTCTTGAATCCTTCTACTGTGTACAAAGCGTCGACAGAAGCGTTACCGGAAGCATCAATGTAGCCGAATTTCTTCATAAAGGCTTCCTGAAAATGAAAAATACCATTTATTCATGCAACAATCTACTGTTGCTAAGTCTCGAGGAGAATTAAAACTGTTTTAGTTTAGACCGAAGTAATACATCTGTATATTTGTTCGAATGTAATAGGGGGACCGGAAAGTAATTTCGTTTCTGCGCATGTCGACAACAACATGCTAAGGGCAGAAGTGGAAGCAAATCCGTTGTTCGGCGAAGTCAATTGAGTCTCTGCGCTGCTTTATTCTCGGACTGCAGATTTTGCTTTTTGTATTTTTCAATAAGTGCGACCACAGTTTCAAGTAGTTCTGAACATTTTCATCTAGTACCCATGACATGGCATCATTAATAGGTTTTGGAACTTTTCTTGAGGGCGTTAAAATAATGCAAGTTCTTTTTGCTCTTCTTCTGAATCACTGCTGTCAACATTTTTGTTTTCTTCTTGTTCAGTTAATTCCTTGAGCTCATCATTAGAAAGACTAGCCGCTGCTTCTTGAATTATTTCTTCGACATCTTCCACATTTACCCCTTCAAAATATGTCTGTACAATACCGCACCAAACAAGAAATACAAGTACACTCTTTCGGATATGTATTTGAAACCTATCGCTGCACAATATTTCGGGGAATCCCCGTATGCTGCGAGCGATTTCGTGGAATCCCCGGGTTGAAATAAAAGAGCGCTAAACCGAAACAGCGTTAAGCGGAGTCTTACTGTATTTTAAATGCGTCTGTACATTCTGAGGCCCAAAGAGCTTGTGATCAATCGAAGCAATCAAGACTTTAGGCCCCAAAAGTATCAGGACTACTCCTGTATGATAAGGCGTTGTATTGTCATTTTGAGAGGGGAAAAAAAAAAAAAAAAAAAGACTGCAAAACAGAATAATCAAGCGTCATACTACTGGTACTACTACTCGCCGCTGAGCAGTCTACTCATCGGAGTAGATCTTCCTCTGGCCAAACCCAGCCAAGGCATGGGATGACAAAACAGAGAGCATTATTATGCAGTGGCGTAGCTAGGGTGGGGCAAAGGGGGACATCTGTCCCCGGGCGCAGCATCCAGGGGGCACCAAATTGATGGTACGAAATTTTAGAATGAAGTGTTTTCCATTCGTGGCACACAGAAAGGGGCGCAAAAACTTCAGTTGTCCACGGGCGCTGAAAACCCTAGCTACGCCTCTGTTATTATGTTTCTACATCAAATAATAAGATGAGAAAACAAGGCTCTTGAATACATGTCTATGTCTCTATGTATACGTTTTCAAAGTACAGACATCCTTATGGTGTTGGGTTACAAAGAACAGTTACGTAAGGTGGAGACAGATTATGTGCAATATAATACACACCGGTTTCCAAAAATTAAGGAATAATCACAAAAATAGCGATCACTCATTCAAAAATCAGCGAATTCGTACAAAATTTGGATGTGTTGTCAAATAAGAGCTGCTGATTAAAACTGCAGTATGCAAATTAGTAGCACTGCGATCGGAATACGTCATCTGCGAAGAGCATAAGGCTATCGGCAAGACAAAATCAGATAGAAGTAGCCAGATAGATAAATGTGAGTCCTTGTGTGGTTTATACACTTGAGCAACAATTTCTAACCACATATTCTGCATCAGGGGCGTAGTTAGAGGGGGGCAAGGAAGGGCATCTGTCCCCGGGCGCAGAATCCAAGGGGCGCAAAACTGATGTTACGACATTTTAGAATTAAATGTTTTCCATCCTTGGCAAGTAGTAGAGGGGGCGAAATCTACGACTCTGTTCGGCATTCAGGAGGTTCAGCCAAGGACGGCCAACCGCTACGACGAGCCACTATGACCGATATTTGTTGTCATGGGCACGAAGGAATAGAACCGCAAATCCGACTCATCTCAAATCCTTCCCTGCTGCAGTTAGCGGAAGGTTGGTGTCAATGTCAATCGCACGTAAAATGCTTCGCGAAGTAGGTCTGCAGGTGAGGTTGTAAGGATCTAAGTTTTACTAACGTTTATTTTATTTTAAATCTTTACTATCACTTCTTATTTTCTACTTCCGGCCAGAATTATAAGCGATGAAGTATTTATGCAAAGTTTGTCTGGCGAACGCCAAGTATTTAAGTTGTGGCTTTTTGCCAAGCGAGAGAGAGGAAGCAGTTTAGTCGAAGCAGGGCC